TCTAAAACTCTCTGGTAATTTGGCTCTTTCAGGAACCGACCCGTCCTGCGATTCCGATAATGTTAGCTGTTGGAGCCGTCCATCAACATCTTATACAGAACGGCTTGCGGATGTCTGCTTCCATTGTTGCTGATACCGCCCAGTGCTTCAGCACGCATCACTTTGCTTGTTTGATTGGATACGGTGCAAGGTTGGTCTCTTTGGTTTGTTCTACATTTTCTAGTTTTTTCAAGCTGAACTATTAGTTACATCCATTTCATTGATACGTATGTTTTGTGAAACTTTCCCACAGTGCTGTATGCCCATACTTGGCACTGGAGACATGTAGACAATGGCGCTTAAGTAACAAAACTGTGGCCTTAATGCGTAACGGGAAGATTCCCACTGTAACCATTGAGCAGGCTCAGAAGAATTACACTAAGGTGAGGATTTCAGTACACCTTACTTAAGATGTTTCACAAGTAGTTGACTTTAGGGAGAGATTGAACTGCCCAAACATTATAAAGGATTCTGATTTCTATATCGCTTATCTTGCAGGCGGTTAATGCGGGGCTTCTTAAAATTTTGTCTAAGATGGGCATCTCATTGCTCTCAAGGTTTCTATTATTCTTCCTGGATCTCTCCCTCTAATATTTTCTTTTCTTTCGCTTATGTTATGTACATTTCTACAACTTCTAACTTTAGCTTTTTCTTTTTTCAGTTATTGCGGTGCTCAGATATTTGAGATATATGGTTTGGGGAAGGAGGTTGTTGATTTTGCATTCACTGGAAGTGTGTCGAAAATCAGTGGACTCACCTTTGATGAGGTGAGTAATACATCACATTTATTTTCCATCAATCCTGATCACATCCATATTGCTTATAAGAAAATGCTATCTTCTTTCAGTTGGCTAGGGAGACATTGTCTTTCTGGGTTAAGGCCTTTTCTGAGGATACAACTAAGCGATTAGAAAATTTTGGGTTTATTCAATTTAGACCTGGAGGTAAAAATATTACTTTTAAGAAGAGCCCTCAACTTTTCAATCAATATGTTCTATGCATTTACACAAGTCTTGTTATGTTTGTTATGTTAGGGGAGTATCATTCAAACAACCCAGAGATGTCAAAGTTGCTCCACAAGGCTGTCCGTGAAAAGAGTGAAACTGCCTATGCGGTCTATCAACAACATCTCGCTAACCGACCGGTTAATGTGAGTATCTAACTGCTCTTTCGCAAGCCTTCTTCAGTAATTTAGTTCACTTATTTCTGAACACTTGGGACTCTGTCTCTCTTTCTTTAGGTCCTCCGAGATCTCCTTGAGTTCAAGAGTGATCGTGCACCGATTCCAGTGGGAAAAGTCGAACCAGCCGTTTCTATTGTTCAGAGATTTTGTACTGGTGGAATGTCACTTGGTGCTATTTCAAGAGAAACTCACGAAGCAATTGCTATTGCCATGAATAGAATCGGTGGGAAATCAAACTCTGGAGAAGGTGGAGAGGTAAATATCCATTTTCTCTTTCAGATGTCACACCTTTGAGTAAGGAAATTAAAAATCTAATGCCCTGTTTTTTTTTTCCGTTTCCCTCTCTAGGATCCTATCCGCTGGAAGCATCTCACAGATGTGGTTGATGGATATTCACCAACATTACCACATCTCAAAGGTCTTCAAAACGGTGACATTGCAACGAGTGCTATCAAGCAGGTCATAATCGAATGCTTCTCTGTGTTTATCACAGAACTCTGTTGTATTACTCACAATTGTGTTATAGAAACCTTCATCGAATGCATTTTTATTCTCACAGGTTGCTTCAGGACGTTTTGGAGTCACACCAACATTCTTGGTCAATGCAGATCAATTAGAAATCAAAGTTGCACAAGGTGCCAAGCCTGGAGAAGGTGGTCAGCTTCCTGGAAAGAAAGTGAGTGCGTATATCGCAAGGCTAAGAAGTTCTAAACCTGGTGTTCCTCTTATATCCCCACCTCCTCACCACGACATTTACTCGATAGAGGATCTTGCTCAGCTGATCTATGATCTACATCAGGTTATCAATCTTTTCACAACTCAATAATCAGTTGAGCCAAACAGAAGGAATTTCCATATGATATAATTTCCAACTGAATATACAGATTAATCCAAATGCAAAAGTATCAGTCAAGCTGGTCGCAGAAGCTGGAATCGGAACAGTTGCTTCTGGAGTTGCAAAGGGTAACGCTGATATTATCCAGGTATCAACTTGGAAATAAAGCATTTCCTCTTGTGGCTCCCATGTTCTTGCACCTTTTTGTTATACATCAGCCAAGAAGTTTCATTGTTCCTTTTCATATGATCCTCAGATATCAGGGCATGATGGTGGAACCGGTGCTAGTCCAATTAGCTCCATTAAACATGCTGGTGGGCCGTGGGAACTTGGACTAACAGAAACTCACCAAGTAAACCTTCTGGCTACCATATGATGATACTAATTCTCTTAATAGAAACTCATTTCTTCTACTTGCTTTATCCTCTTTTGCAGACTCTTATCGAAAATGGGCTCAGAGAAAGAGTCATTTTAAGAGTTGATGGAGGCTTAAAGAGTGGCGTTGATGTCCTAATGGCCGCAGCTATGGGTGCTGATGAATACGGATTTGGTTCTTTGGCAATGATTGCTACTGGCTGTGTTATGGCTCGTATTTGCCACACTAATAATTGCCCAGTGGGTGTGGCAAGTCAGGTAAACTCGAAAAGAACTCGTGAATTTTTCTTGGGGGGCTTCTTGTTCATCTTCTCTTGAGAGTTCACTAACGCTTGTCACCACTCTAAATGCTCTCAGAGAGAAGAATTGCGTGCTAGATTCCCTGGTGTGCCTGGTGATCTTGTCAATTTCTTCTTATATGTAGCAGAAGAGGTTAGCCAGTTCGTACTATCTCAATCACTAAGAGACTTGTCCTGTCTTTAATCTCATCTGAACTGGAGAATCTTTTCTCGGCAGGTGAGAGGTATCTTAGCAGAGTTAGGATACAGCAAGTTAGATGACATCATTGGACGAACAGAGTTACTGAGACCACGAGACATTTCGCTAGTGAAAACTCAGCATCTCGATCTTAGTTATCTTCTTTCGGTATATGACTGACTCTATTTCTCCTACATGAAATAAAAATTCTAATTTATATCAGTTGTTCTAAATCCTCTGTTTCCTTTTCTTTTCTCACTTTTTTCAGTCTGCTGGACTACCTTCAATGAGCAGTACTGAAATCAGGAAGCAGGATGTTCATTCAAATGGACCTGTTCTCGATGACGAGATTCTTGAAGATCCATTGGTAACACAGAAGTCTTTCACTGCTCTTTCTTCACCCGGTTCTGCCGACTTTAGTTGCTAATAATATTATTAACATTTCCAGGTGATGGATGCGATAGAGAACGAAAAAGTGGTTGATAAAACCGTTAAAATATGCAACATAGACCGTGCGGCTTGTGGTCGTGTTGCTGGGGTCATCGCAAAGAAGTATGGAGACACTGGTTTTGCCGGACAAGTGAATCTAACGTGAGAAAGAAATTCTAAAAAAGCTTTAAATGGAAAATGTTTCAATCCAGGTGATAGCTAAAACAAGCTTTTACTCTTTTCTAATCTGCAGCTTCCTTGGGAGCGCAGGACAGTCCTTTGCGTGCTTCTTGATTCCCGGTATGAATATCCGGCTCATAGGAGAGGCAAATGACTACGTAGGAAAGGTAAAAATGAGCAATCCATATGCATAGAAACCAGCTTTTGCATCAAATAGTCTCTTGTTATGGAAATTTGAAAAATGGTTTGACCTTTTTGAAAGGGAATGGCTGGTGGTGAAGTAGTAGTAACTCCTGTGGACAAAATCGGGTTTGTGCCCGAGGAAGCAACCATAGTTGGGAACACTTGCTTGTATGGTGCAACAGGCGGTCAGATATTCGCGAGAGGCAAAGCTGGAGAGAGATTTGCAGTGAGAAACTCACTCGCTGAAGCAGTAGTGGAAGGCACTGGGGACCATTGCTGTGAGTACATGACTGGTGGCTGTGTCGTCGTGCTTGGAAAGTGAGCAAAACTGCAATCATTCAAGACCGTTGGATGTGATTTTCGGATATACTCTCTAAACTAATATATGAAATTGTTTTCTATTGAAACAGAGTGGGAAGAAACGTTGCTGCAGGTATGACGGGAGGGTTAGCTTATCTTCTTGATGAAGACGACACTCTTCTTCCCAAGGTTACTTTCTTTGTATCCATTTTCCTTATTTATGGTGAAATTGAGATTCTTTCTTTCTACATTTGTCTTTACATTTTTCTGAACTAACTTTGTTACAGATTAACCGAGAGATAGTGAAGATCCAGAGAGTAACTGCACCTGCAGGGGAATTGCAGCTTAAGAGCTTAATCGAAGCCCATGTCGTAAGTCAAAAGAAAAAAAAATCTCTTCTCTAAAAGATGTCATTTTATCATCAGTCTCTTTCATGGCTCCTGGTTTTAAGAAGAGTGACTTGTCTTTGATGGCATCATATATAAAACAGTCTTTTGTTCAATATAGGAAAAAACTGGAAGCAGCAAAGGTGAAGCGATTCTGAAGGAGTGGGACAAGTATCTACCTATGTTCTGGCAACTAGTTCCACCGAGCGAGGAAGACACTCCTGAAGCTTCTGCTTCTTATGTAAGAACAGCCACCGGTGAAGTCACATTTCAGTCGGCATAGAGATCATCATCATCATCCAAGCATTTTTCAGTTGGAAACAGAAGGATTGGTACATCAATGGTGGACTATGGAGGGGCAAATCGAGAATCACTTGATCAATGTGTGGGACATATATTCTGATTGTCCAGTGATCTTTACAGTACCATGATTGCTATAACTGTACAGTTATTCAGTTAAATAACTGCATTCAACTGCCATGATATTTACATAAATTCCATATACTCTTTATTGAATAAAGTTTCCAGATTCAAATAATCATCAATTTAACAACAAAAAATAATAATAAGAAGAAAATGTTACAGAAGAGTACAGTTCTAAAATCTGATATAAGTCTAACAGTAACTACCAAGATTCACTTCTTGAAACTCTCATCTCTCAATATGATTGACGTAATCCGAAGAAAAGCATACCATCGAGTTCCTCCAATCTCACTTTGCAATCTCCTCTCATCTGCACAAAGAACAAAAACGAAAAAGAGATTAGCTTTTAGATTCTCTTAACTTTCTGAGTTTAAAGTAAAAAAGAACGCCTTTAGTTCTCTTTCGACAAGTACCTGAAGATGCAGAGTGTAGAAGATCCTTGCAGTGGAAGAAACCGAAGAAGAAACGCTTATGACATCAAGCCCGTTTTGTTCCAACCTAAGCAACATGTCAGAGATAGATGCCCATTTTGATGTAGCAATCTGGACAGCTATCTCTGTGTCGGTGATCCAATTTGCTGCGAACGTTTGGGAGGAAGAATCTATCGAGTCCATCTTTGCTCTATTTCCCAGCTGTTCTTGCTGATGATTCAAAGTCGCTGTTTTTCTGGAGATTCTCTTCAGGAGCTCTTCTTTCCTCCTAGACAAACGTTGAAGCTCTTGCTTCTGCTCTGGTATATACTTAACCACACCTGATACCGTCATTGGAATGCTCAGCTTCCTCTGCATAAAATAATCACAAATCAAAAAGGGTTTTCTTTGGTGTGAATCTATTTATAGTATATTATAAATTCCATTGCAAGATTACAAAACCTAATCTTAATTGATGGATTTTTTAGAAGTTAATTAGAAACAGTTTCTTTCAATCACAAACCTTTTGGTCAGAAGGAGGCAAGAGGGCACGAAGTGAAGAGTATAAGGCGTTTAGCTTTCTACGGCGGTCGCGTTCGCTTGCATTGTGATTCAGTTTCTTCTCAAAAACCGTTCCTCGATCTTCTTCTTCTTCCTTCTCTTGACCATTGTTACTGTTACTATTAGTACCATAGCTATGACTAAGACTCATATGATGATGATGATTGATACTATAGCTCTTGGAATCATCTGATTGATCCAAAGAAGGATAAAGGAAAGAAGGAAGATGCAAAGTAGGAGAGAAGGAATCAGCTTGAGACAGCCATGGATACTCCATTGTTGAAGCAGGACACCATTCTTGTTGCTTATTTGGAAACAATGGTGCTAAGGCATACATTATTGTCCTCTCAATAATCAGAAGAATAACTAGAGAGATCTTAGAAAAAACAAAAAGAATAACTAGAGAGAGAAAGTAGATGAGAGAGGGAGAGAGAGAGACTTTGATGATGATGATGATGATGAAGAAGAAGGGGGAAGATGATAAGACCGAATTTGAGATGGAATCTACATATGTAGCTAGTTGTATCTCCAAGTAGTTAGTTTTTATAGCTCCATGTTCTATGGAAGTTTCTTTAAGCTTTTTTAAGTGTCGTCTTACACTCCACACGCAGTCTCGTGCCAGAACGAGTAGGGCACGGGCTTTTCGTACAACATTATCTATATCCTATTCTTCCCTCAATAATTACAACAAACTCGATGATCGAGGTTTCCTTCAAGACTATATTAATTTAAATTTAGATTCATAGATTAATTAAATTGGTTATTTTTTAATTAAGTAAAGTTAGAACTTTTAAAGCTATCTATAAATAAATAATAAAATTTTCTATTAACCAACCTAAAAACTGTTAAATGATAAAATTTTCTATTAACCAACCTAAAAAAATGTTATCATTACATCATCCACTTTTTCATCGATCAGTTATATTCTGAAATGTGAACGCAGGCAGTTTTAGGGTATCTGCATTTGATCCTTTTCACTTAACATATTCATACATGTATGCATACATGGCATCATATGAAATTTCTTCTAGATTTCATATATATATATATACATATATATTAACTTATAAATGAAAGGATCAAACGCAGATACCCTCAAACTGCCATCCATCCATCACATTATCATATTTTCTTTTACTTCTAATAAATAAATTATTTTTATTAATCTCATATTTGTATGTTTTCTGGTATTAGTGTAATTTTTTGTTAGAGCATCTCCAATGTATGACTTTATATTTTTATCTTTTTTGGAGTAACTCCAAAATGGAGTTGTATTTTACTCTAATGTAAGATTCATTTTTACTCCAAAATAGAATTATAACTAAAAAAATAGAGTTTCTCTATTTTTTGCTCTATATATGGAGTAACTCCATTTTTTACTTCATTTTGGAGTGAGATTTGGAGTAGGATTGGAAAGAATCTTGCTCCAAACTCTATTTTTCAATGAAATTTGCACTAGGGTTGGATATGATCTTAATTTGATTTAACCATCTTAAGTATTTATTATTCAGATCCATATAAACTAAAACATTGCTGTAGTTTTCCTTTCATTACTAGAAAGTTATAAATAATGAATTAACAAAAGAAAAGTTAGAAACCTAGACGTAATGACACTACCAAATTTCGAATGATATAATCAGTGACGTTTTATCATTTTTTGTGTCATCACTTTCTTTCTTTTAAAAAACTACTATATACATATGAGAATATTATGCCAGTTTAGTTGTATTCTAATCCCATTTTAACTATATACATAAGCTTATGGTTTTATATTTTGTATTATTGATCTTCATGTTAGGGTTTATCGGATTTCTATTCCCTATAGACGAGTTTTAAAAAATGAAAATTTATAAAAAGAGAAATTAAGGAGACGAAAGCAAAAAGAAAATTAGGTTAAAGTCTGTTTAGTCCAAATTAGCTATAATATTAAATATTCCAGGAGATTAGTTTTACACTCATCGTTAAAAGTTAAAACGGAGATTTTCTTATATGCCATAGTTGAAAGAACTTTTTACCAGTTAACCCTAGACCCAACACGGTTATAGGTACATTATATACATACCCTGTTTATGTTTTATTTATTCCTTGAACACACAAATTCAAAGTAAAATAAGAAGATCCCACTCGATGTAAAATGTTCACACACACAAGTCACAAGTGAAAAAAAAAACAAGAAAGAGGAAAGAGGGTAAAACGCACGCGCTATTTGGTCAAGGGCACGTGTCAGCTGTGAGGTCGTTCCAATGAACCACAGCTTCATGTACACATCAGCGGCCACTTCCTCTCACGCCCGATCTTAAAAAATTATTTATCTTTACTTATCTCTTCTTTTTACAAATTTTTAAAGTTCTGAATTCTTATGGAAATTAGTAAATGTATTTCGAGAATATAAACAGTAAAATGTTCTCTTTTAACTTAATCTTCCAAAAGAAAAACAAGTTTCTTTCTGTTTACTATTTAATTTTCTTATTTTTATCAATAAGTTTGAGTTTCTTAGACTAAATTAGTAAGGTTGAGTTAGCGGTTAAATTAGTGAGAAAATATATCGTGCTACGTGAAAAAAAAAATCAAAACGTAGATTATTACTTTTTGGTATTTTAGGTATTGTTTTCCAACCCTAAGAGGCTAAGCTGTTGGTTACAAAAAAACCCTAAAATGAATGTCTACAACTGAATTAAGAAAACAATAATACAAATTTCGCATATAATAAAGGCTTGACCTACTAATGGTCTCGCCTACGTTGACATTTTAATAACTAATGATTCCAAAAATAAATAAAAAATAATTATTTCAGCTAAGAGACATTGTTTTTTTTTACTTCTATTATGTTGCTTCACATATGCAAGAACATAAACAATGTTATGAAAAGAATTTTCCCATTTAAATTGCTGATAAAATTTATATTAGAATTGATTTATGATTTCTTTATTTATTTTTCTCTACTTTTTCAACATTATTTGATTTAATTTCTTTCAAATCAGTCATGATTTTCTTGTAAAAAAGTTATTAAAAAACTACAATACCAGTTGACAAAAGAATAAAATAAATACTGTACAACCATCTTCCCCTAAAAAGAAAGTAGAAGACAAAAGAATGTTATTTAACCTTTTGGCAAAAAAAAAAAAAGAATGTTAAATTGATGATGGTTAGCACGTCTGCGACAAGCCAGAAAATATATTCCTATGCATCAAAAGTAAATGGAAACTATAGTTTTGCTACTATTGTTGTTAAGCCGTCCATTTGTTTATCCGACTATAGTGGTTTATATGAAAAATGCTGTTGGGACTTACTAAAACTCTTTCAAGTATTCGCAGTTTTATTATGTTTGAGTTAACAATTATTATAGTACATTTAAAATAAATTAATGGTTGCATAAAAACAAATCTTTTACCCAAAATCTTTTTACATATATTGTGATTGTGAATGCAAATGTAATGAAAATTACATATAGTCTTTTGTATTTTGTACCCGCCTGGCTGCCTTCACAGTTTTAAATGATTTTTGATTAAAAACACAGAAATGTTGTATGTTTTTCTTAAAAACACAAAAATTATAATAAAACGCAAACACCAAAAGTTTGTAGTATTTTAATATAATAACCATAGGATGGATTAATATTCTTATTAATTAAAAAAAGAACTAAAATGGAGTAATATTCTTGCATAATCAAAATAACCAAAATGCCATCTCATCATAGACAGAAACAGAGAGAGTTGTCTTGGAAAGAACAACAATGACATCTCACCATAAGATCTAGCATAGTCCGAACATATTACTATATATATATGGTGCGTATAAAGTAGTTACAAAAAATCACTATTGAGAAATTCTCATCCCCCAAAATTAAGGTCCTAAGGAGTCTTGATGAATAGGAGAAGGAACAAACATAGGGAAGCTATATATGTTGTGACTGAATGAATGTTCATCTAAATCTGCGTTTTGTCTCTCCATAAGCAACCACCCCAAGGACTGTTATGGAGTAGCCGCCAATCCCCATAACCGTAACAGGGTTTTGAAAGATCAAGATCGAAATCACCACTGCAACTGCTCCTTTAGCATTTCCAAGAACCTGCACAATCAGTTGAAATTGTTAGCCTTGTTATCTCTAAGATGTTTAGGAATCGAGCTCTTGGGTGAGAAAAGGAGACTGAGAGAGAGGGAGATGCAATTAGGTTAACCTGGAGAGTGAGGGCGCTAGTGTGTTTGGTAACCAGAAAATTCAACAGATTGGCTGAGTAAGCCATTACCGAGTTAACCAGAAGAAGTATCCACATGTACTGATGTTGTTTTGCAAGCGTCAAGGTCACGCTGATCACGTCCGGTTCCATGACAAGCGTGACGGGAAGAAGAGCTACGACAGCTATTGGGGACATATACAACATCAAATTCATCGAGTTCAATTTTTCCCTGCAGGAGAACCAAAAAAAAAAACAGAATCTAGTATACTGTATATATAAAGATGTTGGTGTTTGTGGAGATGAATATCGTTGGTTGGTAACAATTTAGTTCCATGAGTTAAAATGTTAACCTGAAAAAGTGATGTATTACAACATTCTACCTAACAAACCATTTATGAGATTTCTTGATTAGTTAACTAAAGTTAGAATCTAAGTTCTGTAGGGTATAATATTTACCCTTCTGAAGAAAGTAAGATGCCTTGAAGAACAGATTTAAAAGCTCTTGCCGCCGTAGCACTAATGCACATAATGAAACCAAACCAGTGAAATCCTGGCTCACCCTGCAATATAAAAATTCGTGCTTTAGATCAACAATCATAAGCACACAAAAATAACACCGAGATCGTCTCTTCGAAATGACACAAACCCAAGAAAAAAGGAAGCAAGGATATGATATTAAAACCACTTGATAAACTTCTAAGATATCACCTTTGCAGGAGAGCACAAAGGTTAGATCCCAAAACGATGTTCTAGCAAATTCTACACCTGATTAAACCATAAAAGGCTGAAGCTTTTTAGATATAACACAAGACTCAAAAGTTCAAGACCCGATTTTGAAGTTTTTTCTTTGTCCAAGTTTAGGCCTTTCACATTGACATCGATGAATCATCTTACTACACGGATCAGTCATCTGAATCCAAATTCGGACAGCACATTCATTTACCTCAAAATACGTAAGAAAAAACCATGAATCCAGGATCAAAACTCAAATCTAGGAAGGTCATTTCACTAAGCATCACCCAAAATCAAACAGCCTAAACATTGGCATTGTTATTGGGTAAGAGAAATGAAAACAGAGGAAGGACTAAAAAAAGCTTTACCCCACTGGCGATGACGACGCCAGCGACGACGGGGACGAGAGCACCATAGGTAACCCAAGCTTCTCGCTTAAGGGTCATGAGGTAAGCGAATAGAGCTGTGAAAAACGGCGTGGTAGCACCGACGGCTTGATTGAAAGAGACGGGGAGGTAACGGAGGGAAATGTTGCCGCCGACGACAGAGGCACAGAAGACGATGCTGAGAGTCGAGACCTTGAGGAATTGGGAGCGAGATTTGAGGGATTGGAGGGGCACGAGCTTGAGGAAGACGATGGAGATGTAGCTGAGGATTGCGCAGGCGGACATGTGACACATTGTGAGGAAAATCGGGAATTTGAAGCCGTAATTGGAGAGGAGGAACTTGTTCAGGAGAAGAACTCCGATGTTCGAGGAATACCACGAGATGATAAGGGTCGATATGAACAGTGTCTGCTTCTTCGACGACGACGACGACATTATTCTTGTGTTTACTGATCTGGGTTTCCTCTTCTTCCTCGTCGAGATCGAGATTCGTTGAGACTAAGGGAGAGAGAGAGAGAGAGAGAGAGACAACGAGAGAAATCAGGTCCTCACTTCAAACATGGAACGGCAAGGACAAAGCCCAGATGAAAATGAAGAAAAACTCAAGCCTTTTCTTTTTCCTTTTGTGTAATTATTGTTTTTTTTTTCTGGCTCGTCACGTTTTATTTCTGGAACGTTATAATTTAAGACCATGATATATTTTTAGTAATAGTATTATTAGACTTTCGAAATCGATATATCACCGGTTTGTAATAAAAAAATTTACATTATGGTTGTGATTTGTGAAATTATGCTTTTTGAAAATAATTATGTTCATGTATACCCCATTTTATAACATTTATTATAATTCTTGCTTCTTGTATTGTGGTAAATATATTCAAACCCGAATTAGTCCCATGTACCGCGGGAAGAAAAAGTTTGAAGAGAGATACATTGGATAATCAAGGTGAAATTAGAAATTGCTACATTAAATTTGTTTTGGACTAGTCCAAATTGGATTCATTTTAGAGCATCAGCAATGCTATCATCGATTTAAGAATGCTTAACAATAAAATAATATTAAATTTAAGAAAGAAGAAAAAAAGAAAAAAATAAAGAAAAAGAAAAAGAAAAGAGAGAAAATGAAGAGAGAGAAAACAAACACCAATAAACATCGCTTCTTTTCTATCGGTTCAATAAATAAACTCCACGTGCCTTATAAGTATCGATGCTTATTGGTCTTATTTAAGCAGCGATTCTTCAATTTATTTTCATTTTAGATTTATTTTTTGGGCTAAGCAAGCATTCCTGTTGTGGATGCTCTTAGTATCTAAACCGAAGACCTCCAATATTTATGTCGGTTAGATAGATCTACTCCCAAATGGCATTAATGTGTAAATAGTGTGAAATCAGAGGCAAAATTCCTGAAAGTATTCTCATCTATTTGACACAGCTAAATGGTCAACTAAAATCACATCCCAAAACTTTTCTTCTTCTTTCGATCTCTTTGAAAAGTTTTTTCTTTTTATTTTTTTCAATCTGTAAAACGTTTCAGCGATGTCAGGTTACCCTCCGACGAGCCAAGGTTACGGTTACAATTACGGTTACGGCGGCGGAAATCAACCGCCGCCACCTCAGCCACCTTACTCCTCCGGCGGAAACAATCCTCCGTATGGTTCATCGACCTCCTCTCCTTACGCTGTACCCTACGGCGCACCGAAGCCGCCTTCCTCTTCCGCGCCGCCGTACGGATCTCCAAAGCCTCAATCTTCATCATCGCAGTCCTACGGCGCACCCCCTCCTTCCGCGCCGTACGCGCCTTCTCCAGGGGACTATAAGCCGCCAAAGGAGAAACCTTACGGAGGTTACGGCGATTATGGAGCTCCTCCACCGCCTGGGCCTTCAGATTACGGAAATTACGGTGCTGCCCCTCGTCCCACGCCGTCTGGGCACGGAGGATACGGAGCTACTCCACCGCCTGGGATTTCTGAATATGGGAATTACGGTGCTCCAACTCGTCCAGCGTCGTCGGGACACGGCGGATACGGAGGTTATCCTCCTCAGGCCTCTTATGGAAGTCCTTTTGCTTCCCTGATTCCGTCGGGTTTTGCTCCGGGAACGGATCCGAACATAGTGGCTTGCTTCCAGGCTGCGGATCAAGACGGTAGTGGATTCATTGACGACAAGGAGCTTCAAGGAGCTCTCTCTTCTTATCAGCAGAGATTCAGCATAAGAACTGTTCATCTTCTTATGCATTTATTCACCAACAGCAATGCCATGAAAATCGGTGAGTTTTTTTTCTTCTACATTCTTTGATTTTTTTTAACCCAAACTTCCTATAGTTTCGACAATGATTGGACTTGTTGTCACTTAGAAAGATGTAAAAGCTCAAAAATTTCTTCTTCATAGTAGTAAAATTGGGTCGTAGAGTCAGCATTTTTCTATTAGCATGTTGGTCAAATAATCAAAGTTCTATGTATAACCAGTCTCCCTTGAATTACGTGCAAAAGAGTGCTCACCGTTTCTATTATCTAGTCTGTGTGGAACTTGATTTCATTTTCTTACCTTTAGTTGAGATCATAAATAATCATTCAAGTTGCGTTCTTTTATCTCTTGCTAGCCTGGTTTTGATATGCTGTCCTGTAGTGAATTAAGAAACCTCCATGTTGCAGGGCCTAAGGAGTTTACTGCACTTTTCTACAGTCTTCAGAACTGGAGAGTAAGTTGAATTTGATTTAGTAGCATAGCAAGAGAAGTTGAATTTCACACTCATGTGGTTGGGTTTTGGTTTTTGGTTCAGTCCATTTTTGAGAGGTCTGATAAGGACAGGAGCGGGAGAATAGATGTAAATGAGCTGAGAGATGCGCTTTTGAGTCTTGGGTTTTCAGTTCCTCCTGTGATTTTGGATCTGCTGGTTTCCAAGTTTGACAAAAGCGGAGGCAAGAACAGGGCCATTGAATATGACAATTTCATTGAGTACGTTATTCCTTCCATACTCTCTCGTTTAATTCTTCTTGCTCTATTTCTCGTTGCTTATGAATCTCTGCTTTTCCTTGATGATGCAGGTGCTGTCTCACTGTTAAGGTACGTTATTCATTCACTCTACTGCTGTCTCATACAACTCATAGATCATCAGTTCAGTGCTTTTAGGTCACTGGAACCTTTTTAGTTCTGGGAAATTAGTCTTGGGGAGAGTTGAACTCAATCTTGTTATCCAAGTCCATTATTATAAGTTTGTTAATTTTGTCAAATGTGGTTGAAGTTTGGGGTTTCAAAAACAGCAATGAGTTCAGTCATGTGTTGTGTGATTTGTCGTCCTTAGGACAAGCAGCCTGATCAAAATTGTTTGGTGATCCGACTTTCACCTTTAAAAGTAAGTAGTTTGATTCTGTAAGGTGATGGAAATTTCAGGGACTGACAGAGAAGTTCAAGGAGAAGGACACAGGATACTCAGGCTCAGCTACTTTCACATACGAAACCTTCATGCTCACCGTCCTCCCCTTCCTCATCGCATAAGGGGTTACTTATAACGATAACAGATTTTCAGTTTTTTTGTGTGTATGTTCTTTGCTGTCTGAATGAGCTTTTCCAGTCTAGTTGAATTCCAGAGTTTAAAACAAATGTGAAATGTAAAGCTGTTGTGGTACAAAAGAATCAAACAACTCATATATTATGGTTGATTATTACATCTTTGTTTATTGGTGGTATACATATAGAAAAGAAGAAAAGAATACATATATCCGCAATTGCTTTGTTTCTGACTTTTAATCAAAAGTATATTTATATATGTTCTAAAAAGAAAAGAAAAAAGTGTTATTTTTTCGAATTTTCCTTGTATGGAAATCAGGGCTCGGAGGAGCTGCCTTGTCCTAATGTAGACAAATTTAGTGTTCTGATGGAGTGGACTGTTCATTTAGATAAACCGTACGTCTATACAGCGGTTGGGCCGGTCTTGCGTTCGCCTCAAAACCCTAAATTATCAACAAAACCATGTATTTATTATTTATTATATGTATGAAAAAAAAAAAAAAGATAAGCTCAAATTTGTTCTTAATAAAAATGTTTTATGCGAGAGGGTGTATCTATTCTTACCCCGCGACGAGCATCCACTACAGAAACAATCTGCTCACGTGAAACAGTCCCGACCTGCATTTAGATCAAAATTTGAGTCAAAACAAACATTTCATAACAATATAATTTAAAGGTTAGGAATTATTGGATATACAAGAGACCTTGTTGATGATGGTCCAAATAACATCTTCCGTGCAAGGAGGAGTCGTGAGCGAACCACTATATTCATAGAATTTTGTAAGATCCCATCCGAACTCTCTTGGATCTATTTTTCCTATGCTTGCCTTTCCACCTTGTATGTCTGCGATCGAGTTGATCTTGTCCATTATCTGTCAGACATTTTTAACAACACACAAGCCAATAATTAATAAGCTGAGAGTTTTAATAACGAAACAAAAAAATAAACATATGACATACATAATTAAAACCCGCGCCGGGTAAAAAATAAAAATAAAAAAATTACCCGTGAAATGAAAGCATTCGGTTTTCCTTCTCTAAAGAGAACTCCGATAACTGCTAAGTGTCCTTCTTTGCTTTTATGTACCATGTGAAGTTCCATGGCCAATCTTAAATAAAAACAAATCCACGTATTAGCTCCAATGTAAACTTATTGTCTATCTTTTGTTTTAATTGTTTACTTACCTTTCTCCATTAAGGAAATGCTCTGAAGGCGCGTGCCAATGGCTTTGAACCAATTTATAGTCGGTCTTATTGATCACGACCTTCCCTGCGTCGTCTTCCCATGAAACCTGATACATGTACAATAACATATCAATCTTGCGGGCTAATAAAAAAAAAAAAAAGAAGAGAGTTTATTCTAGGTTTTATTTTTTCACTTCAATATATTAGTAATTAATTACCATGATGTCGTATCCACGGTTCTGAAGAGTAGCTACTACTGGTTTGTAATATGTCTCAATAAGCTCTGTAGAATTGTGAACTACGCGAGCTATTTTTGGAGAAAGATCGATTGGTGATTGCCTCTTCCCCGTCCCGCAAATTCTCCATTCTTTCTTGATAGTACTCCATTTCGAGGGATCGGCTTCTTCTCCTTTTCTGTAATGAAATTCTGTCTCCGTCTCATCTACAAATGATGAGGAGAATAAGCAAGAGTCATAATCACTCTCAGAGTTTTGCATTGATTAAGGTTTATCAAATCATACAAAACACTCTAATTAATTAACACACGATATCACCATAGGATGGACCGTGAATTTATTAAACGGTTTTACATCATCGTATCAGTTAGGAATCCGATCGCTAATGCATGTTCTATATTTTTTCCTATCTGTTTGTGGGATCCAAAATGGTAACAATCATATGACGTTCAAGGATAAGAAAATTTACCGGCTGCTAGAGATGAAGAAGAAAGAGCAAGAAATGTTACAAAAAGTATAATCGTTTTCATCTTTTGTTTTTTAAATCTTTTTCTTCTCAGAAAATTGTATTCTTACCTTATTTTTTTTCTTTTATCTCTTATATAGAATTTTATCGTCGCCAAATTTGGGAGGTTGTCTAAAAACATCAGTAATTCATTCTAAGGTTGAAAACTATTATTAATCTCGGTTTCTATTTTAATATGTGATAGACCTCTCTTTTTTTTAATGGTTAAATTGGGTGATGATTCTATTACCTCTCTCTCAATAGCCTTATTACTGAAAGAATGGGGTCTAACTTTAAGTCAAATTTTCTCCGCATTTTTATCTGAGTTGTGATTAATTGTTTAGTTTTTTTACTAATTCAAGAGAAAGTGAACAATTCTCTTTTAGAGAAGCTTTTAATAGTAAACTTTTTAGAAAATGTTACAGACCCATTTTTGGACAATTATTGGATTTATATCACTTTGATTTGTAATCTTTAGGTTATGTAAACTATGTTAAGATTTAGCGACTTCAGGGTATGTATAATTACATTCTAACCGACACTTTACACCACTAAAAACGATTTTACATTGAAAATGATGAAGCTGAAGTAGAAAACACGACACAAATGACAGCCTATGAACCCTAATAATCATGTTCGGAGCATTTGTCCGTAAAATGTCGAATTGTAAAAGAATGGACCCAATATTATTACAATGATAATTCTTATCCTCTCTTTTGATCTGTCTATTGTCGAATAGGAAGTAATCACTATTGAGATTTGTCTCCTTCTTTGGAGTTATCTTTGTCTTGTTGCTTAAAAGCATCGTATACAAGAACATAATAATGGAGAAGCCACATGCTACGACTATGGCCTAGGGAAACCATCACGTTTCCAAACTTGGAGATAGGGTGCAACAAAACTTTATGTCTATTAAAAAAAAAAAAGGAAAAAATGTTTATGGTTCTTCTCATCTTGTATTACGACTTCATTACGGAGACGTCTATTTCGAGCCGGGTTTTTAGCAAACTCAAAACTAGATAGTTCACCTAGTATATATAGTCTTAATTGAGGTTAGTCTATACTTGTTCCCTTTTCTTGAAAAAAAACAAAAAACCACTGATTGATGGACTGATGATGGCTACAAATTTCACTAAGGAAGTTTAACAACTAACCCCAAAATAGATATATTTTTAAGGAAACCCGTACAGGCCACTAGAGAAAAGCTATATGTAAACGTCATGATGACATCTAAACGAGAAAGATAAGAACTTTATCAGACATAACTAACTCGTGAAACTTCTCTCAAGTCTCAAGTTTATATATATACTACACACAGAGGCACAGCCTTAGAGAGCGACTTCATACAGACCACACTCTGAACTAACTCAAAACTCTGTTCCATTTTCTACAACAGAAAAAGAAGGAAAACAAAAAAGAGAACAGAGCCCTTTCAATGGCGGAAACTTCTGTAACTGTCGTCGCGACCAAACGCCATGCTCTCGATCCTTACATCAAGATCCTTCAGAGTCGATCAAATGACATTGATGTCTCATTTTCCTCTTACCTCAAGCCAGAAAACAACAACGAACCACAGCAACAGCAAAAGGAGCAAGAAGATACTGAGCTAAGCATATTCGAAGCTCGAAGTTACTTCAGCGAAACCGGAAGCAACAACAGATCACAGACGAGGAATCTTAGTGGTCCAAGATTCTCATCGGTTTCATCTGCAAAAGTTTCTTCTTTTACCGTGGGTCACACGGCATCCTCTGAAGCTAGCTGGAACAGCCAAACCGGTTTGCTCTGTAACAATAACGGGCAAGGATCGGACCGAGATGGACGTGGAAGCAGCAAGAAAGGAGTTAAATCAGGACCCAGATGGTTTTTCAGACGCAGGACTTGTCCCTGTTCTAGCTCCAAGTCGGTTCAGGTCCAAGAAACCAAACCAAGATTCGCCGAGCCCAAAACCGGTTCTGAACAAATCGTGTTGAACCGAATCGCTCATCATAACCATCAGACGATATCTTCGTCAGATCCCATCAGATTAACAATCCCTGCAAACACCGTGTCTCGGTCCATCGATTACGCGGCAAACGGAGAATCTAGAGCTCCCGTAAGCAATTTCAGCTTTCCGACTCTAAACGAAACCTCACAGACATCGGAAAAACCCATGAATCCGGCTCTGAATCCGATCAAACCGGCTTTGAATCAAATTGGACCGATTCTTCATCCGGTTAAACCGGTTCTGAATCCGACGAGTCCCAAGGGAGTTATTACAGACGAAGAAGCTGCGAGCGACGCAAGCTCCGATCTCTTTGAGATTGAGAGCTTCTCTACTCAACACGTAGCTCGTCCTTGGGCCCCACCTGCGGCTGATCTCGTCCGGAACTCGATAGATGAGACCGCGACTGAATATGGTTACGAGCCGAGTGAAGCAAGTGTCACTTGGAGCGTTACGACCGCCGAACCGGCCTCGGCGGTTGCGGCTAACTTCTCAAGAATAGGCTTGACGCAGTCGCCTCTGGCGTTTGGCGGTTGCGATAAAAGGAGAACGGGGTTGTTGAGCTGTCGTTGTGAAAAAGCGGTTGTGGTTAGCGGCGGCCAGCGTTTGGTTCAACCGCTTAAGAGCGTTAGGTTTCAGAACGATGTCGCGGAAAAGGTGTTGTGCAACAACGGCAGTTCTAAGTTAAGCTTGACGAGTCGAGCAGTGTTGGATTCCGAATCTTCGTTTTTGGTTTAGATCCGGTTTACTCCATTATCTTGGTGTGTTTTGGGTGCTTGTCCTGTAAAATTGCTCTGTTTTATTTTTATACTTGTGTTTTCAAGACTGTGAGGTAAAAAAAAATCAATGTGAATCAAGAAATTAATTCCTATATACATAATGAACCGCTAATTTATGAGATTGATCCAATATTATCTATAACCTCCTCTCGTTTTGGTTTTGATGTTCAGTTTATAACCCCCTCTCATTGGTACTATAAGGTATTATGATGTCACTCATGAGTTAGGCCCGTGCATGAAGTGAATGAAGATGGTGCTAATATCGTAAATGGTTGGTCTCAAAAGGACTTTGCCGTTGCGTGCACGACGTCGTTATGGTATGGACGGTTCTTTAGGGATAAGACAAGTTAGTTTGGTCAATTGACATTTTTTCTTTCACCATATCATTTGCTTTATGTACATCATATAAGTATAACATACGATATATCCATATATAAATTGTAAATCGTTTCTTGCCTTGGATTGCTAGATGGCTTAGGTATAAATCTTTGAGAAATGGACTTCTTTTTAAAAGTTATATATAATTCCAAGTTAACCAAATCCATTACTTTTTATAATCCTTGGATTTCATTCGACTTTTAGTATAAATCCACAACTGGTGGGACCATGAGTCCATGACTCAGGATTAGTAGATTACTTATGTCTATCTCAAAAGTTTGGTTTAAGGTATAGTTTGTTGCTTTAAAGCATTAATAATACAGTCAAGACTCCATTTACAAATATTTCACAACTTAAAAAGCAACACTAATATATAAAAATATATGTTGATTTAGTATGTAACTTGACCCTCACTACAAGATACCCCAATCATAAATACACATATTAGCTACAAAACAACGACACTCCACAATAAAAGCTAAACAACAACAACAAAAACAAAAAACAAAACATTTTGCCTATAGAATCGTTTAAGTTCCCCTATAAACCCTAAAGGATCACATCTAGCTAGAGACTCAATGGATCAACAAGGAATGGACAAGAGAAGACTAGCCGTTCTCGTCGGCTGCAACTACCCTAACACAAGGAACGAGCTTCACGGCTGCGTCAACGACGTTTTAGCCATGAAAGAAACTCTTTTGACCCGTTTCGGATTCAAACAAGACGACATGGAGGTGCTAACGGACGAGCCAGAGTCAAAGGTGAAGCCGACCGGTGCCAACATCAAGGCTGCTTTACGTAGAATGGTGGATAAGGCTCAAGCCGGATCTGGAGACGTCTTGTTCTTCCACTATAGTGGCCATGGAACTCGGATTCCTTCTGGTCATCCTTTTAAAAAAGACGAAGCTATTGTTCCTTGTGATTTCAATCTCATCACAGATATTGATTTCAGAGAATTGGTCAATCAACTTCCTAAAGGAACAAGCTTTACAATGATCTCCGATTCTTGCCATAGCGGTGGTCTCATAGACAATGAGAAAGAACAGATCGGACCCTATTCCGTCTCCGACGATAAACCTCTGGCCATGGAGACAAGGACGACGATGACACCAATAACATCACGTGCCTTGCCCTTCAAGACAGTCCTCGACCACTTGAGTTCTCTAACCGGAATCTCAACTTCCGACATTGGCACACACTTACTCGAACTCTTTGGCGGGGACGCTGGCCTTAAATTCCGGTTACCGGCGATGGATCTGATGGATCTCTTGGAGAAAATGACGGCGCGAGAGAGACACGTGGACGCCGGGATATTGTTGAGTGGGTGTCAGGCGGATGAGACGTCTGCTGACGTGGGCGGTGGCGGTGGGAAGGCGTATGGAGCGTTTAGCAACGCGATTCAGACGGTGTTGAAGGAAAATGGAGGTGCCTTGAAGAACAAGCAACTAGTGATGATGGCAAGGGATGTGCTTGAGAGACTAGGGTTTCAGCAGCATCCTTGTCTCTACTGCAGCGACCAGAACGCGGACGCGACGTTCCTGTCTCAGCCTTGATACGACCAACTGGATTTATATTTAATGAACTGGGATAATTTGTGTTTGTTTTTCTTTTATTTGTTCTACTGCGTTTGCGTTTGGGATGTCTATATTTTTACTCTTTGTGTTGGGTTCTAAAATCAATTGGACGAATAAAAAAATGTTGATTATTAATTAGGTTTTCACATCTACAAAGTACAATCATATTACACTTAAATTGCGATTTTTTGTTTTGGGTTTGTTTTTGGTAAATCAAAATCTCGTCAAGCTCGTCAAGCTTATCTCATCAGAACAAGAAAACTAGAAAGAACATAAATGTTGAGAGAAATCTGTTAAAACAGTCCACCTTTATAATGTAACCAACAGAAAGAAAAGGATAGATGCTAAAATCCGACAACGTATAATGTTGACAACTTAATCTTTCGTAGTCAGGATACGAATCACCAATCTAACAGTTTAACAAACATCTACGAATCAACAACATTCAAAGATTGGATATGCTTTTTGAACAAAAATTCAAAACCCAGACGCAAAATAGGTTCACCATCTTCAAACACTCGGTGTATTTTTTGCCAATCATCCATACACGCTAAGATTAACAATCAACCCCTGAAAATCGACCGAATCTTTGAGCTACCAAGAAGATGAAAACTACAGAACAAGCCGAGAACGAAATTCCAAAGAATTCTACTTTTGATTTGAAACAGATGCTCTTCATCTTCTGTACCTGATTCCATGTCCAAGTCCACAATAGATGATATTCTTCATCTTTAGATTCGAGCTTGCATTCACAATCGAGACGCAATCACCCCATGTTTAATCCATTCTTAAGAGAAAAAAAAAAGATTAAAAGCAAAACGGCAGCCAATAACAAGCAAAACGCATATGACGTAAGTTGATGTTAATGATGTAGAGCTAGGAGCAATGCTACTATTTTCACTAAATTTCGACCAAAACGACAATCCGGTAATAAATAAAACGCAACGTAGGAAAAAATAATAATAAAAAAATAGCTCACTCGCGAAAAAATCGCGCATGACCGCGTTTTGGCAAAATATGAACAAAATTGAAAGTGGTTAACCTTTCGATTTTGGCTCAACGCGCTCAACGCGCCTTCGGTGCAAGTGGGATAATGTCTTTACATTTTTAAGCGCGTGGCGTCACGCTCTTCAACGTAGAACTAATGATATTATTACACGTCCGAGCGAGAGAGAGAAAAGAGAACTTATTCAATAAAAACAAATAATAATCATTCAAAGAACAAATAACTCTCATTCAAGTATATGACTGTTCAAATCTTGGTTGCGGAGCGCGAGAATGGCGATGAAACCTCTCTGATTTCTCTTCTCCTTCTTCTTCTTCTTCCTCACTCACATACTTCCGTTTCATCGATATACATTGATATTCAGGGTTTTCATGGTATATTAACTAGCTGCAGCAGCAAATGAATTCTTTGTCAAAGTTGCAGATGTGTTCGTAGAATCAGCTTAAGCACTCTTCTTGATTAAATGTCTGTGTTGTCCTTGCTTTCTCGTATTGTTAAGTATAAATTTTGTGTCATGTCGTTTGCAATTATTTTGAAGGATCGAGCAAACGAGATATATAAAAGAGTGGAGGATCAGAGAAGTCGAGTAGAGGAAGAAATCAAGACGCCCTTTTGGCTGCATGTCTGTATATTGCTTGTCTGCAAGAGGACAAGCCACGAACTGTGAAAAAGTACACATACAGATAGCTATAAGAATCTTCTCCTTAAGCATCCATCATTCCCTTCTTCAATGGCATCGTGCCTCTAATACTCTCGATTTGGTATTGAAATCTGTTCTGTTGCCAATGGAGGCACAAAGAAAGAGATTGGTCGTGCAAAAGAATACATAGTCAAAACAGTTGGGGTTGGAAACTGGACAGTCAGTAGAAATGGGGACTATACACGCCGGTGACTTGATGGTGTGTTTTTTTAAAGAGACTTGTCTTCATTTGCCATTCTTTATTGTCTTGTTGGCTCTTAATCAAATGAAACTTTTTTCGAAACGTTCAGAGACGGTTTTGCTCCAATCTTGCCATGAGCAACCAAACCGTAAAAGCGGCTCAAGAATCTGTACAGAAGTCAGAGGATTTTGATATCAGGTATAGTAGATCATTTTCATGTCTCCTTAACCCTTGTTATTACCATTTTCTGAGTCTATTGCCTTGTGGTGTGGTCTATGTTAACTTCTGCAGGAGGAGTCCCATATCAATAACAGCAGGGGTTATATACTTATATACATCATGACACAGCTTTCCGATGATAAAAAACCGCTTCGAGGTCAGTTTCATGCACAATTTGACTCGCAAAACAAGAACGAACTTTCATCTAACTGTAAAATTAAGCCTGCAGATATATCAGTGGCAACCGGAGTTGCACAAGGCACGATAAGAAACTCATACAAGGATCTGTATCCCTAAGATTATACCTTGCCTGGTACACCAAAGAAGAAGACCTCAAGAATCTCCAAAGCCCTTAAAAGTCTATTTTATAAATTTTTTCCTGTCTCTGTATGAAACTATTTACCACTCATTTAATCTGTACTTCGAATTTCAGTTGAAATAATCGGGCGATATGATTTTGATAAACAAGGAAGATTATGAGAAAAGCCCCACTAGAGCTAGAGTTTCTGTATACTTATATATCAGTTTTGTTAACTAGTCGTCCAACGGATCTCAATGTGAATAACGCCGTTTCTGGAATTGATAAGATGGTATTTATGGTTGATCCTTCCATTGTCCACAACATCCCCCAGATTTATGTCTACATGTCCTAGTTCCTCCTACATAAGAGTCATCAAGCAAATATTTTAGTTGAAATGGTCTGCTCGGAACTCGGTTCAAAACCGAACCGGCTTGAGTGAAAAAGGCGTAAGATTTCTTTACCTTGGAACGAAAGTGAAAGCCAGTTCCTTTACTCATGACCTCAACGCGTATACTCTCTTTCAATGGGGGCTCTTCTAGTGTAAACTCGAATTCCTCGTTCCATAGTGGGTCTCTCGTCTTCTTCAACATCTGATAAAGAAAACGTAGCTCAATCATTAGAACTCAGACGACATGATGCACTTGCGCTGAGTCTCATCATGAGCCAAATAGCAGGTTTAGGATTTACCTTTGTTTTCTTCTTCTCTCCTCTGAAGAGAACAAGAGCATAAGGGTTTGTGTGTTTCTTCTTGCCTTCGACATCTTTGGCCGATTGGACTGCAACTGTGAGTAGACCGGCATTGCTGAGAAAATCATCGTCCTCTGATGATTTCTCATCTCTGCTTTCTTTTCTCTGGTACTGATCATCCTGATTTTCGTTTCTACTCTTAATGCTTTCTTCTCTGAATGGCACATACCTGAGATCTAACTCTAGTCTTCCTCTTTGTTTCTTATCCTGTGAATCCATAACAATGTTTGAGTTCTTGATCAGATCCAGATTAAACGCCTTCTTCTCGCCCGGGTAAACTTTCTGCAAGGGGATCATCTGCATTCCTAATCTATCGTGCCCACCAACCTATAGAGATAAAGAGAGTCGCTTTAGCAAAGATTAGACAAAACGTTGAACTAGAGAAGAAACCAGAAACGTGAAATGCAGATGCTGAGACCTTGTCCCAGTCAAAGACTTCTAGTTGAAGGACTTGTGATATTGGGTCCTTGACGATGAGCTTGAAGTGTTCGTTCCATTCCGGGTTTAAGTTCCTCTTCTTTATGGTGGTTTTCTTTGCTGGAAGCTTTTCTCCGGTCAAGCTAAGCTTGACATAAGGGTCGGATGTTCCAAGCAAATCCTTCTTGAGGAGATTTCGAGCTCGAATGATGTTCACATGTAGTAATCCTACGGGCTTCTTCACGCACCCTCTACATCAGAAGCAAACTTGTACATCATGGGAAAGAAAGAGAAAGATCTCATGACTTCTAGTTAAATTGTTCAAAAAATTGATAAACACTGAGACAACACTTACGTTGAAGCATCAAGAATAGGTATCTCAAGGAATTGTGGCCAATGGTACATGCTTGAAACTTGCCTTTTAATAGTCTCCTGCAAAATCATAAGATAATAAGGATAAGTTATCTGAAAAAACATCTCAAAGAAGGAACATCTCATTAGAGTAGATAAACACCACAATCCAACTCCTACCCATAGGAGTATCATCAATGCAGCACCTGAACATATCTGTAGAGACCCGGTATGGACATGAGATCCCCACCAAGCACTTTCAATCCAAAATCAACATGCGGCTGCAAAGAGAATCACAGTGATCAAATACTTCACCCCAATGGTTGGTAAAGCAGACATTTTTCAGATCTATCCGGAGATGGATGTAACTACCTTTTCCATCAATGAAACTACAACCGTTCCGAAACAAGGGAAGGTTGGTAAAAGAGGCTTCAGAGCTACTCGCATTGTAGCAAAAATTTGGAGATCTACGAGCTGCAAAAGATAAATTTTTAAAACTTGGAGTTTTTGGAACTAAGAGTTGTCAGGCTTCCTATTTCTTTCACAGTGTCACTCTTACTGACCTGGACTTTAATTCGTAAAGTCAAAATCTTTAGCACCAAAACTATATTGGGATTGCCTGCCCACTTGATTGATGGTTCAAACAGAAGTTCCTTCTCGTTGGTCTCATAGAACTTAACACCTGCATAAAAGATTTAGGCACCAATGCCATTAATCACATTGAACAGAGCGCTAAGAGGTGACAAGAAGTAAATGTGAGGCTAGGACTTGCCATGAATCGTTGGTGGAAGCAGCCCCAGGCTCAAGTTTTCGAACTCTATGGATTCTATACAGAAGGTCCCAACATAATCTGCAAATATCTGTTTTGCAGTACTCTGGATAATCCCGCAAACAGCCTATACAGGAGGAGAAGAACAACAAAAGCTTTTGAATTCGGATCAGAAATTTGATGTAAGCTTATTCTTCATAACAAGAAAGCTAGAAAGAACCTTATCGAGGTAGGGCCACATGTACGAGAGAAATCTGTTAAACCAGTCCACCTTTATAATGTAAACAACAGAAAGAAAAGGAGTATCATCAGTGTCAAGTAGATGCTAAAATCTGACTAGTTAACTGTTGACTTACTCTTTCGTAGTCTGGATTCTTCATCCATAATGGGATGTCTGGTAGAAGATCCAGAAGGACACTGATGCTAGTCTCAACGAGTGGCCTCGCAGGTGGATACTGAAATATATATTCAAACAGTGGATATATCAAAGTCCTCACATTTCATGAACTTAAGTCGACAAATTATCAGCAATTTAACGAACATCTACGAATCAACATTCAAAGATTGGACATTGTTTTGAATCCAAACGCAAATTAGGTTCACCGTCTTTCAAACACACGACGTATTTTTGCCAATCATCCACAAACGCTAGATTAACAATCAACCGCTGAAATCTACCGAATATTTAAGCTACCCAGAAGATGAAAACTACAGAACAAGCCCCAAACATGACGAGAACGAATCAAACGAAAGATGCCTCAAGTGTGTGTGTGTGTGTTTTTTTTTGATTTTTTTGAGGTTTTGGTGATCAACTTTTTTACCTCTTTGTGTGTAGGCTGAGAATAAATCAAGGCGAAGAATCCAAGGATGAGTCCAATAGGGATTCCGATTGCAAAACCGATGATCCCCAGCACACTGGTGAAGAAACCCATTTTATTTTTCTCGATATGTATCTTTGAGAAGCGAAGAAAACACGGGAAAATGAGAGAAAACAAGAAAAAAGAAAAAGAAGAATGAAAAAAAAAAGTCAGTATACAAATATAAATGGTAAGCAAGGAAAGAGAAGAGAAGGAATCGGGTCCAAAACGGTAACCAATAGCAGCGTTCTGTTTCAACCGCCAAAATCTGTGTGACAAAGTTTCCGATTTGTAATATTTTTTTATTAATTTATTATCGCTTATTCAATTTATTTTTTTTTCCTTTTTTAGGGGATCGAAAATCACGAGATGTGATATTTCCAGTAGCCGACGTGAAAATGACTTTAATTTCATTGGGTGTACTTTATTTATCCTTTTTTGTGTGATTGCCTGTGTTTTGTTTGTTGGCCTAATAAAACTTAAATTCTTGGATATCTTGGTAATAAAAAAGATCACGAAATTAACTACTTTATGGTCCCAACAAATATTTGTTGGGCTACCACTAGAAACACAAATAAATACGAGTTGATTGGGTGATAATAACACCTTCTATAGTAATGAAAGTTGAATAACTTTCTAGTGGTCATAAATGGTTATATATATATATATTTAAGAGTATTAAATTTGTATCTAAAACATTATTGATAAATGTATTGTTATTAGAAACAATATAATTGGATAGCCAAAATTACAATATAATGTCTAAATACATTGTTGGGATCAAATCTTGTAATATTATTATCTAACATAACCTCTCTTTTAAGCATAAATACAAAAATCCATAATTAGTTATCTATTTGAACATAATAATTTAACTATCTACACTTAAAAAAAAAACTATACGGAAAAAAAATCCTCCATACCTTGTACTTTTAGGCATTATGCGAAGTTTTCAGTGGTCAATGAAAAGATTTGTTGCTGATTTTTTATAGCTTACTTTTCAAAGAAAAATTATTGCTCAAAAACCAACGTCTACCGTGACAAAGACGAATACGCAAAACAGAGGAAATCGTCGAAGAAACCCAAATTTCGATAGATGTTTGACATCACGCAATCGTTACAAATTTCAACCCAACGTATTTCTCTTCAACTGATTTATTCAAAGGTCATATTCATTCCAAACACGTTAATCGTAGTATTTTGATACATAAATTATCATATATTTATTAAAAACATCATATATTCTATCTATTTCTTTCTATAAGATTGGAACGATATTTTTGTTAAAGTCAGAAAAAGTATAAATTACACAAACTAGTATTTGTCTTTTCTACACAAAAGCATCGTAGTAGTTCAAACCAGTTATAAAATATACTAGACTAAAATGCTGACAAAAAGAGAGCAAGATTTATTCACTGTTGGCATAAATATTATTGATCAACCATATAAGACTCTATTTGACCAAGGAAATAGAAATACCATACAAAAACCTTCATGAACCCTATCCTTATACATGATATATAAACATTAATATACGTCTTTGAGATATTTGAATCCGCCACAAGGTATGACAGCTGTAAGAAAGCAAGAGGCGTCACTAGGCTACTTAGCTTGTCCTCCCACATCATTATCTTGCTTGGTTCATGATTTAGGAAATTACAATGCAGTTGCAGTGTATATATATAGCCTATATGTGCTCAAAGGTTATATATATTTCTTAATTTCTGACCGTTGTCATATCTTATCCACTTTCTGGTCATTCAATTATTATTTTTGTTTTCTTCAAAATCTTTAGTGTACTTTCAAGTTTCAACATCGTTCTTTTTCTATTTTCAATTTTTTTCTTTTTGTCAACATCACTGTTACTATTATTTGCTGTCGGAAACAGCAACTGTAGATTTCTAGTAGTAGCTTTTGTTTCGTGAAAGGATTTTGAAACCTTTAGTGTTCTCATATATATTCTCATATTCTCTAATATTTTGCTAGAAAGATCATGGCATCCAATAGTAAACTAAAAAAAAAAAAAAACAAACTTTGCGTGTCTCCCAATTTTGAGTTTTAAAACCAAAACGTTCTTCCTCAGCCTTCTCAAAGGAAAAAACAGCACCTGATTTTTTTCTCCCTTATGTTTGCATGCACCAGCCAAGAGCCAACGAACTAGTTTTCCATTTTCATTAAGTAAGTTTCTTCCGTTAATAATAAGCACAATTAAATAACTAATTGTTATTTTATAAAGTATTTCGTATAATAGGTTTAGAAAACATGACGATATCTTATACTAAATGTCTAAATGAAGTTATATATTCTACGAAAATAATATTTTCAAATTATCTACTATCGAAGTTTTATCAACTTCTTTCTTAATAATTTGTGTGTAAAACTATTTTATGAATTTGTCGCATATGAATATAGTAATCACGATACATAAAAACGGGTGCTTGAACGCCGGAATATTCGCTACTGGCGCTGGAGATGACGACACGTCTAACACACTTCATCGGACGGCTACAAAGAGCGGCGATGCTCATCCGTGTCAACACATGCACTTCGAGATCCTTGAAGCCATCACAAAATTCCTCAAACCATAAAATCACACCACGTTTACCGATCATCTTACGCATGAACTCAAGCACCATCCCGGTCAGATCGAAGCCGCTGCGATGATGGAGCATATATATCTTAAGACGGGAGATCTTACGTCCAAGGACCTCAATATCTCCACGAAATTGATCCGCAATTCAGAAACCTAAACAAGATCGATATTTCTTGCGTCTTAAGTAGTTTGTTTCTTGCTTACCAACTAAATATAATGCTCTTGATTAGGCATAGTGGTAAATGTTATCTTCATGTTATCATGTGTATTCGTATCTTATTTTTCCTTCTGAACTTTTTTTATTTATCAAGAACTGGGTTGTCAACAACTTCATATTATTTCCAACTTTAATTTCGAAAACCATTATTTTTAACTTTGATTAAGTCTTTTTTGTTTTGTTTTTCAAGCTGTACAAACTTCAGTGTAATATACTACATACTTTATTTATTTATTTTCTTTATAGTATTTTTGCAATTTTTGACGAATTCAGATGTGGATGTCTGCTTATATACTGATTTCAAAGAGAAATGGTTGGATAAGTGTTGAAAGGAAAAAAAAGAAAAAGAAGGACAGAGCCATTCCCTAGGGCTATATTTGCCTATTTATAATTTAATGCTGATAAATGCGAAAACAAAAATTCTCGCCAAAGTCCAGTGGTCTGTAAGAGTCATCACCGATTCTGACGGGACCGCACCGCACCGCATCGCTGGTTTATGTTATTTGACACCGCGCGCAGCCGCGCACAAACTTCAAAATCTGGTTATCTTACGCTAACATGCGCCTACGGCAAACGTTAAAATAAACTAGGAAATTTTAACATTAAAACACACTTTCTCTATCTCTTCCTTCTTCTTCTTATATTCTCTTTCTCTCCTCCTCCGTCTCTCCGTCGTTGCGCAACCGCACAGTTCATGCCGTTTCAATTTTCCTCTCTTTTTTTTGCTGTTCCTCCTGGATTTTCCGGTGCTTCTGATTGTGTCAGTGCCTACAATTTCATTGTGTTGATTTAGTCTCAATTGGAGGAAGCCGATGAGATATATCTTTTAATCAGTATCGGAATTTCGAATCTAGGGTTTTAGAGTGCTGGGTTTCACTAGGTTGCTGTTCTTGGTCTTGTGCATGGTGGGGTAAATCTGATTTTGGTGTTGGAATTGTATATCTCACGGAGTTCGCATTGGGATGGGTAATGTTGAAATTCCCCATTGGCTTAAAGCCTTGCCATTGGCACCTGTCTTTAGACCTACAGATACCGAATTCGCAGATCCTATTGCGTATATATCGAAAATCGAGAAAGAGGCCGGTGCTTTTGGGATCTGCAAGATCATTCCTCCTTTACCAAAGCCATCGAAAAAGTATGTTTTCTATAACTTGAACAAGTCTCTTCTGAGGTGTCCTGAATTGGCTTCGGATGTAGACATTTCGAAAGTGTGTCATGAGGATAGAGCTGTATTCACAACTAGACAGCAAGAGTTAGGTCAGGCTGTAAAAAGAAAGAAAGGAGGAGAGAGCAGTAAGAGTAATTCTCAGAGGAGTGGTGTTAAGCAGGTGTGGCAAAGTGGAGGAGTATATACATTGGAGCAGTTTGAATCTAAGTCAAAAACTTTCTACAAAAGCCAGTTAGGAACGGTAAAAGAAGTGTCCCCGGTTGTGGTTGAGGCATTGTTTTGGAAAGCAGCTTTAGAGAAGCCCATATATATAGAGTATGCAAATGATGTGCCAGGTTCGGCTTTTGGTGAACCAGAGGGTCATTTCAGGCATTTCCGGCAGAGAAAGAGAAGGGGGAGAGGATCTTATCAGAGGAAGGCAGAGATCAGTGATGAAAGCAGGGTCGAAAGCGGGACGGACAGAAATTTTAGCCAACCACCATCGTGTAAGAATGGTGACACAACATTGCCTGAGGTAGCAAAGGCATCTCATGCTTCTCCAAGTAAAATATCTCAGGATCTGTCCAAGCAGAAGAAGATGGATATTGTTGATGGAATGGAAGGTACTTCAGGCTGGAAGCTCTCCAACAGTTCATGGAACCTTCAGACTATTGCACGTTCACCTGGTTCTGTTACACGCTTCATGCCAGATGACATCCCTGGGGTTACATCTCCCATGGTTTATATCGGTATGTTGTTCAGCTGGTTTGCCTGGCACGTTGAGGACCATGAGCTTCACAGTATGAATTATCTTCACACTGGTTCCCCAAAGACTTGGTACGCTGTCCCTGCTGATTATGCCTTTGAATTTGAAGAGGTTATCCGCAAAAATTCTTATGGAAGAAACACTGATCAACTGGGTACGTTCTTTTATTGAAAAGTACTGCTAAACATGATACAAAGGTTCTGTATTTATAGAAATGTGGTCTAATACATATGAGAAATGAGATTTCCTGGAATGATTACCGCATCAAATTATTCTTTAATAGCACCAGTTTTTTACTTTGCTAGTGAAAATGTGGCTAACATTGACTATGGTAGGATGAGAGTTTATACAATCGGAAAAATGCGTTAGGTCTTATTGCTTTAACGTTATGATAGAAAGGAGACATTGCAACACTTCTTATGAAATGCTTTGTTCTGTTTGTCATCGACTCTTTTCTATTTTTGTCACTGCAGCTGCTCTCACCCAACTAGGCGAAAAGACAACTCTTGTATCACCTGAGATGATAGTTGCATCGGACATTCCCTGCTGTAGGTAGGCTTTCTATTTTATTTGACCTTTCATTTCTGTTATGTGGAGATTTGATGCAGTGTGTGTTTTCTTTCATGCTCTGCAAAATCTGTGTTCATCTATGTTTGTTTTCCTACGTAGGTTGGTACAAAATCCTGGTGAATTTGTTGTGACTTTTCCAAGGTCTTATCATGTAGGATTCAGCCACGGTAAAATGTTTTTTTTTTTGTTTCTTAAACATTCTTTCACGTCTTAGTGACTGAATTCTGTTCGTACTCTTCAAAGTGTTTGAGAAAATGTGAAAATTGAATAAAGCCGCGGAGAAAAAGGGTGTTTATAGACGTAGCATGAGGTGAGGATTGAACTTCCAATCAGGAGAATGAAGAACGATATTTCTATAAAAGTTTTACCAGTCGCATAGTAAGAGTGGATAGTTTGGCTTAGATTAGGAATACAAAATGCTTTTTTCGGAATCCTTAACTAAGCAGATTCTAATCTAACTTTTTCAAGGTTTTAACTGTGGGGAAGCCGCAAATTTTGGAACTCCGCAGTGGCTCAATGTAGCTAAGGAAGCTGCTGTTCGTCGGGCAGCCATGAATTATCTCCCCATGCTGTCCCATCAGCAGCTGCTATATCTCTTGACCATGTCCTTTGTTTCAAGGCAAAATTTCATGGTCTCTTTGTACACAGAACCCTTTAAGTTCTGCTGGTCCGTGTCTATACTCATATTCTTGTAAATATTAATTTTTCCAGAGTGCCACGATCATTGCTACCAGGTGGTCGTAGCTCCCGACTGAGAGATCGACAGAGAGAAGAAAGGGAGTTCCTTGTGAAAAAAGCTTTTGTAGAAGATATATTGAACGAAAACAAGAACTTATCTGTTCTTCTTCGAGAACCGGGCATTCGTTTGGTGATGTGGGACCCTGATTTACTTCCGCGTCATAGTGCACTGGCTCTTGCAGCTGCTGGGGGTCCTGCTGCTTCACTGCCAGCAGAAGCAAAAAATGAACTTGAGGATGGTCATTCGGTAATGCAGAATAAGGAGAAGACTACTCTTTTAGAGGAATTGAGTTTGTTCATGGAGAAGCTGAATGATGTATATTACGACGATGATGATGGTCAGCTTAATGATTTCCAAGTTGATTCTGGAACCTTGGCATGTGTGGCGTGTGGCGTTCTCGGCTTCCCCTTTATGTGTGTGGTACAGCCTTCTAAAAATGCATTACAAGATCTGTCAGAGAGAAAAGGAGAGATAGGTAACAGACACTCATTTTTTAATCCAAGCAATAAACTGCAGTATCTGTCTAGCCATTTGAAGCTTGTTGTTAATTGTGCTTCTATTAATTCTACAGATGCTCAGGAATTTACGGCACTGTCATCAGAAAATTCTGACTGTGTATGGAACACGTCCTCCAGATATATAAGACCTCGCATTTTCTGCCTTGAACACACTATTGAACTTCAGAGATTGTTGCAATCAAGAGGTGGACTGAAGTTCCTTGTGATTTGCCATAAAGGTAAGTATGCATCATTTGCTATTAAGTATCACGCCAAAGTGATGTACAGGAGATCATTTTCAGTTTTAAACCCACCTGGAAACCAAAAATATCTAAAATTCCGTTGATGGCTGTAACCTTTTTGGAAATGTTGCAGACTTTCAAAAATTCAAGGCACATGCGGCTATAGTGGCAGAGGAGGTCAAAGTCCCTTTCAGCTATGATGATGTCCTATTAGAGAGTGCATCTAAAGAAGAGTTGAGTATAATTGATCTTGCAATTGAAGATGAAGAAAGCAACGAATATGGGGTAGACTGGACCTCAAAATTTGGTATAAATTTACGGTACTGTGTTAAAGTGAGGAAAAACTCCCCTACTAAAAAGATTCAGCATGCACTGTCACTAGGTGGCTTGTTCTCCGACACAAGCCACATGCTAGATATGTCAACTATCAAATGGCTGCAGAGAAAATCACGCTCAAAAGCTAAACCCAGTTCTACCTCAAGTTTCACATCTCGTGAACATCTTGAAGTAAAAGTAGACGGAAAATCAGGGGAGAAATTGGATCCTCAAGCTGGAAGAAGGGAAGAAAGGATCATCCAGTACTCGAGAAAGAAAAAGTTGAATTCCAAGCCTTCTGGAGATCAAGGTCAGGAACTAGCTACCGAACCTAAATCAGAAGATTCTGATGATACGTGCAATAAAATTGCCAATAGGTCACATTTGGATAGTGCAATTCATTCTGAGATGAACAATGAGATTGAAGATTCTGAAAGGACCATTGAAAGGAATGGGGTAGCCTTTTGTGAAAATCCTCGTAGCTCATCTTTCACTGGGCCACACGGACATGAACATCCCGAGATCACTGTCAAGTTGGGTTTAGCTTTCGATGGGAATATCACAAATAATTCTAGTATGGTGAATGGAGACTCTGCTGAACAAACTTCCGTAACCAGAGAGGACCAAGGACACTCTATGACCAGCAATAATAATGGCTCCAACTCAAGTAGTCATGTTGTCGTAAGTCAGACTATGCTTGCTTCTACAGGCGATAATCATGATGGCCCAATAAAGTTGTCTGGTGAGCATGTCTGCAGTTATGTGTCTGTACGTGGTGTTGATGAAGCGGTTGAAATGAGCGACCGAGAGTTTGAAGAACCTAGGTCTACTGTCATTAACATTGAGGAGGAACAGCAATCACAGATGGTGCAGCCAACCAAAAGAGAGGCTGTACCTGGTGATCACACACAGGTGGAGGGAGAAGAAGCTATGTGCACCAGAGAAAACTTGTGCTCTGAAGATATTATGCACACTGTACATCAGCAAGAGGAAACACATTCTTCAGCTCAACTGGGAACAGAAGTTGCTGAAACTAACGTTGCCAGTGAGAACATAGTTGTGGACATGATCCATGATGATGAAACTCTGGCAAGTAGGGATATATTAAGTTCACGCAACGGTGATCAAGCTTCTTCAAATGGCTTGCAAGCTCCAGATAATGAACCTAGCATGGAGAGGGAAGTTGCGAGCTCAGAAAACACCGAGGTTATCGAGGCGCCGATATCTAATATGGTAGAAGCAAAGAAGAAGCGGAAAATGGAATCAGTGTCTGAGACAAATGATAATCCAGAGAGTAGCATTGGTTTCATAAGGAGTCCTTGTGAAGGGCTGAGGGCAAGGGGTAGGAGGAAAGCGACATGTGAAACTTCATCAAATATCGCTGAATTGAGCGATGAAGAGAAGAAACCCACTGCGAAAAGGCTCAAGAAAACTCCAAAGACTCGCTCGGGGAGTCATCACCGAGAAGTCTCCACGACAACTGACCACAACCGCTGTTACCTAGAGGGTTGCAAGATGACTTTCAAGAATAAAGCAGACTTAGAAGCTCACAAGAGAAACCGCTGCACACACGAAGGGTGTGGAAAGAAATTCAGGGCTCACAAATATCTGGTGCTTCATCAACGTGTTCACAACGATGAAAGACCTTTTCTGTGCTCTTGGAAAGGATGTTCCATGACTTTCAAATGGCAATGGGCGAGGACCGAGCATTTGCGTCTGCACACGGGAGAACGACCATACACATGCAAGGTCGATGGATGTGGATTGTCGTTTAGGTTTGTGTCGGATTACAGCCGCCACAGAAGGAAAAGCGGGCATTATGTGACATAGAAACCCCGGCATTGAGGGAGAAAGGTGAAAGGCTTCTCTGTGGATTTGTTGTGAGTTGATGTAAAATCTAATTTCTGGTTGTGTTTTTTTTTTTTTTTTACTATTTTACTTGATTATCTTAGTGTTTTAGCTAGTTGTGATCTCTCTTTCCTTTGTAGATGTGACTTCTTTCCACTTTAGAGAAGGCCTCACACTCTTGTTTGCTTTGTTGTTTAATTAGTAACCATTTGCTTTTAAAATGTTAATATGAATTTATGATTCATCCACTTAAACCCACAAGCCTTATTATTGTGTTTGTCTACGGAGCCTAAAGAAAATCATAATCTAATTCTCGTTCAAGTGTGAGACCTGGACACAACCAATTCTCCCAGTGAACAAGCCTCTGTCTTTTTAAACGGTCATGTATGATGTTGGCCTAGCATGATGTATGTGCCATTCGGATTTGACGAACACGTGTATGAGCTTGGGAATCTATGTCAGATGTTTATTACGTAGACGTGAGTTCCACATTACCCAATTCGTTTATCTAACGAAATCGATTACGTATCTTCAAAATCACATAGAATAACAAAAAAAAATCCATGCTGCTTTTGATAACTGATAAGCAGATATGGTTTCCACAAAACAAAAACAAAAACGGACGAACAGAATTTTGGATAAAGATGAGTTTAGCCCGCTAAGATGTGAGAAACTTATAACAGATATATAATTAAGTATTAATGATATTGATAGCATCATAACATTCTATGTTAAACCACCACGTACCTCAGCATGACAGCGACTATTAATAAGTACTAACCCCACGATTAAGTTATTTTTTAATATTCGCTCTGTTTCACAAAAAGTGTCGTTTTAAGGTTTTATTTTTGTTTCACATCGTTTTATATTTTCAATGCAAAATTTTAAACAATATTCCAAGTTTAACTCTATTAATTTAATGTATTTACTAGGTAAAAACAAATTATTTAATGTATTAATAAATGATAAAATTGTACTTTTAATAATTTTCTTAATATGTGTGAAAAATGTCAGAATGACATTTTTTGTGAAACGGAGAGAGTATAAAACCTTATTTAATTAATAGTATCAAATAAAAGTAATTCTTTCTTTATTTTTCAGTTTATATAACTAATTAGTGTCTAAATAAATGCTAAAATAGCATATTAAAATGACATTTATGATGAACTAAGAGAGTGCTATCAAAGAAAATAGAAACAAAAATGCATGGAAATTAGGGGATTTAATGATTATTATCTTTGAAAATCTTTGAGAAGGATACAAATTTAATCGTCAAGAAAAGCGACGACACGTGGACAAATGGTGGTGGGTTATTGGGAAAGAGCGGGGTTTTAGGATTGTCTTTAACAACCGCCTTCCGATAATCCACGACGGTGTGAAACGGCGTTAAATAATATCTCTGCCGGCTCTTTTGTTTTTTTGGTTTTTCAACGGCTGCGATTTTCTTTCTCTCTGACCAAACCCATCTTCCAAAGTTTTCGTCTTTCTCTCTCAACATTTTTGCTTTTTCGTTCCCTAAATTCCCATCAAAGTTTTCGGCCATCTCCAGGTTCCCGAGGTTTGTGGGTTTTCCAAATTCGTCACCATTTTCTTAGATCTCTCTCTTTTCATATTTTGTATTCGTTTTGGTTATGGGTTGGTCTCCTAATGGTTGATTTGTCCGGCAAAACTCTGTGAACGGAAAAAGCTTGTGGGTATTTTAGATTGGATGTCTCACGAATTTAAACTTTATCTATTAAGATTGCAATAGATTTCGTTTCTTGCCCAATGATCTGTTTGCTTGATGATTTCATTTTCACACTCCAAATGCGGTTTATCTCTCTTTCTTCGGATGTAACCACAAGTTAGATAAATCATACATCATATCTTCGTTGGTAATTTTGGTTAATGCTTGAGGTATTGATCATGCGTTCCTCGTTTCCCGTCTTTTGCAGCAAACCCGATACTTCACGCAAGAGCGACCCAAAACTACTAAGTTTTGGTTGTTTGTGTTTATAAAGTTTGAAAATTTCCCGTTGGAATTAATGGGTTACGAGCCTGATCCGGATGCTCTTCGGTGGGGTCTTCATGATCTGGAGGTCTGTACACTTACAAATGCTGGTTCTTGCTCTAGCGTAACTCGGTATGAGACAGATGCTGTTACTCAAGGCTATGTTAGAGAAGGTTACAACCAGCCTTTGACTGGTTATGTAGACAATGATGCGGTGATCGCTCAGTTTTATCAAGACGAGTTGTCTAGAGTTGATCGAGCTGAAGCATCGGGGCTCAATAATCCTAGTCGAACTTCAGTTGTTGCACAAGAATGGCCTAACAACCCTCATCAAGGTGGATTTTCAAAATCTCTGACTTTAAAGATTTTGTCTATACAATCACTAACTATTGATCCAATCCATCATTTGGAACCAGATTTCAATTTTTGGGTTACTTATTATCTTCAGGGCAGGAGAATCAAGGTGAAGCCATTGATATATCCCGGGAGAGTGATAATCTTCATAAAGATAAAGGTGACATGGAAGATAAGAATGTTTCAAGGATAGGGAATCAAGGAGAGCAAAGTTCCCCAGGTCAGGATGATGACTCACTTTGTTCTGTAGAAATAGAAGAAGAGTCTTGGTCATTGGATTCTGAGGTTGGGAAGCGACTGAACCAAATGTTACCTGTTGCTGTAAGTACATCGTCTTTGTGATGGTTTTAGACCAACTCATCAGAAGCATATGTAAGTTTACAAACTTTGATTCTGCATGGCGTGTTGCAGCATGTACCGAAAATTAATGGAGAATTACCGTCAGAGGATGAACAGATTTCTGATCATGAACGGCTATTTCAGAGGTATGTTATGGATATGATGTCAAATACAAGCTAGAGAACAGTTTATTTTTACCATTTCTGTGGATCTGGGTTTGTTTTATTCTGTTATAAGTTAGAATTGCAATCGGTTCTCCAATCTGGAACAAGCTGAGCTGGTCTAAATGATCATTACTGTCTTGATTACTTCTGATAGCTAAGATTTTTTTGGTTCCAAATTTCATCAGCTCTCTTGCTAGTTAGTGCTAAAATGAAAAAAAAAAAAAAAACATCTTTTCATTATAGAGCGCTAAACCATTGTTGTAACTTTGGCAATCAATATTTAGGTCTATAGATTTATTTGACCGGATAGTGAGAAATCTCTTCTTATGTATGGTAAATATACACTACAGATTACAGCTCTATGGCTTGGTGGAGAACAAGATTCAAGGAGATGGAAACTGCCAGGTTTATTTTTTCTTCTTTTTGTTTCTAATTTTGGTTTTGCAGATGAAATTTCTAGCAGTGTATCACTGGGTTCATATCTTTTCTCAGTTTCGGTCACTATCAGATCAGCTTTACCGCTCTCCAGAGCACCACAATTTTGTCAGAGAACAAGTTGTTAATCAGGTTGAGATTTAGTACCAAGAAAAGAATGCAATTGCCCCCATCTTAGTTTGATATACCTGCCCTTGATGATTGATACATACTCATATATTGTTTCAGCTTGCGTACAATCGAGAGATGTATGAAGGTTATGTTCCAATGGCATACACTGACTATCTTAAAACAATGAAACGGTCTGAAACTTGTTTCTTTCAATCCTTTCACTGGATTTTGTTGCTTTAGCGTATTTTTAACGGTGAATATTGGGAACATAGGAATGGAGAGTGGGGTGATCATGTTACTCTTCAGAGGGATCTCCTTTGAAATGCAAGTTTATGGCTATAACTAAGGTGGCTACAGCATCTTGTTGGGGATTTCCAAAATTTAGGGACTTGACATATGAATGACATTTTCGCTTTTTTGCTTTACCTGTTATTGCAGTTTGGTGTTCGGATGTTTGTGATAACTTCATTCAAAGATACATGCTACATTGAAATCTTGCCTCATTTTCAGAAGTCTAATCGCCGTAAGTTGCCTCAACTCCGCTTCTTTAACCCAAAACCTCAGTGTTCTACTCATATACAATAAAAACGTCTTCTTCTTTTTTTATGATTCATGGGTTGGGTTTTGAATCAGTTATATGCTTAAGCTTCTGGGCTGAGGTTCATTACAATTCAATCTACCCTGAAGGAGGTATGTGTATGTGACATTTCGTATATGACATAATCAAACATGATTTATGTTGAGAATCTAATGTTAGATAAAACTAGCTGATATATCGAGTTTTATCCTGCTTATGTTCTTGGAACTTTTGTGTAGAGCTGCCGATACAGGAGGGGAAGAAGAAGAAGAAATATTGGGTTTTCTAAGCTCTGTTTCTTCTGATGGAAGCACGAAGTTGATGAAGACTGGATATTAATGTTTTTATTCTTTTTACTAACTTAAAGTATTTTAGTTGTAGAGAGCAATATGCTCTTGTACATACTGAACATAATCCCATTAACCACAGGAGTGTGCACATTTTGTTTTTGATAAGTCTTGTTGATCGTATAAATAAAGCTTTTACATTGTATTTGTAGAGAAATAAATCGATAAAAGATGTCACAGGTGTTGCTCATCAAAGCCTCGGTAGGTTTGATATTGCTATATATGTTTCGGAATCTGTTTATATATGGAGAAAACAAAACATCTTACAAAATAACTAATCTACTGTTTTCTTCAAAACCCTGTTACAGAAACGTGATAAAAACAACAAGACCAGGTCTTAAATCACGGCTCATAAACTAAGAAGCAGAGGAGAGAGCAGAGCAGAGTCTTGAGACAGTTAATTTCAACTGATGAAATCGTTCTCTATCATCTCTCGGACTTCGTTAACCACAAAATGCGCTTTGTGGCCACCTATAACTTCAGCTTGTTTCCGGTTCTCTCTCCATAGCTGCAGAGGGAATAAGACACAGAATCAGTGATTGTTTCCAAGATCTGAATCATAAATAAACTTCCTTGAATATACGGAAATAGATGAATTCTACCTGTATTGATGGCATTTTCTGCGCTTCCCCAGGTGTTCCAAACATAGAATGTTGTTAGATCAGCAATAAAGACTTTCGAAAAGAGTTGTTAAATAGAAACGGGAAAGATTCATACAACAGAGGCTTACCGTAACTCCTGCACGAGAAACAAGTTTATATGGCACGGAGTTGACATCAACATGATAAAACCGCAGTCTAGAAGATACAATTTCAATCAGAAAACCACAAGTTAAAATGAATCCATAACATCAGAAAAGCAATGCCTTGAACATTTCATTGTAAAGAAGAAGACAGACAGTAACTCTAAAAACCTTGGATAGAATTCAGCAGCGAGCTTTTCGAGTTTGGGTTTTAAGTAAATACATTTCCTACACCAAGCTGCCATCCTACAAAATCCATGGAGCTAATCTTCACCGACCAGAAACACACACACAATCAACACACATAAGAGCAAATGACTCGAGAGATAACGATATCAAAAGACAAGTTGGAGAATGAAGAACAAGAAGACTATGATCAAACATTCTCAGAAACGCTTTCTTCCCATGAAACGTGAAAAGGATCTGGAATCTTGTTGCCAATAGATCGAAAACCCATTTCTTTGTAGATTTGAACGATTAACCGAAAATTCAGGGGAGTAACCTAGAAACTCACCAGACAATCACAACTGATTCACCGAGCTTCTGAGCTTCCTCCATCACCTGATCGAAGTCGCTCTCGCTACAGATCGGTCCGAGCTCAACCGAGACCGGCGAGTCATCGAGCTCTTGTAAGCCACCGTCCTGCTTCCGGGCATCGACTGCTCTGATTCTCTTCGTTACCACGCTGGTCTTCTCGGGAAAAGAAAAAAAATTGAATTTTCTCCGTTGAGAGAGGGAGCTCGAGATTTGACGAGGAACCAAAAGTGAGATCTTTGGGTTTAAAAATCTCAGAGACGATGACAATTTTACAAGCTCTGACATTCTCTTTCACTGAAAGTTTCTCAACAAAAGACTAAGGGGTATGTCCATAAATTAAACGGAACTCAGTTTGGTCAAAATTTTCCAAAAAAAAAAAGGCAACTCTTTTACGAATACTTGAACAAAACCCACACTTTAATGGAACAAAACCCTCTACTTTTACATGAAACAATCAAACCCAGCATTCTGAAGACCTTCAATTAATAAACTATACCCAAAGCTTACAAAACTGTCATGTCACATAATAATTCCTTAACCAGAACGCAAGGATATAAAATACATCAAACTTGTTTGGCTTTGCTTCTTTCTATTTTCTCGGGCAAAATCTGATAGACATGAACGATGTTCCATATTTTTCATTCTGAGCTTTCAAGAGATGTACAAGTGTATTTGATTGAGCCGGTGGGCTCATCCTACCCATATCCGAGCTAAATCTGTAACCGGTGATCGATGGCTGAACGTTTTAGCTATCTCTCGACGCAGTGAAGCTAATACCACCTTCAGTATTCCTAGTAAATGTGGGGCAAAGCCATTTGATCATGTTAGGGCCTAACACCTGTGGAAAGCATGAAACTTTTTCTGGTCAAGTTCTTGATCAGAAATGAAAAACTTGGATTTTCATAAACACAAGAACGATGAAATGACTCAAGAATTCACATTGTGCACGACACAAAAGATAGAGATCAGTGTAAATAAGAAAGTACCGAGGTGATGTTTTTGTAAACGCCAACATCAAATTGATGCCTATAACTTTGTCCCGATTTTCTAGCTAACCACAAGGCCCGCTTTGAATCATAATGCTACAGAGAAAAATTTGCACATTTAGGCAGTGTCAAATAATTTGCAGAAAACGTTTACAAGAAAATCAGAATGCGTACCTCAATGGTGGTCATGTTGTGTGCGATCAGGTAGATATGCCAACAAAGGAGAGTCCCAAGTGTTAAGCTTAGTCCAATCATGAAAATCCCACAAAAAACCTAAACATTTACAAAGTAACATGCTTCTGAGAAAACAAGTTCATTTCTTCATCGACAAATTCCTCATCTCTATTTTTCAGAAAAAAGATGTGCTTCCGTGATAAAATCTGCTTGAAGCTATAGACAACTACAAGTGACATGTTTTCGATAGAGTGCAGCCTTATTATGAGATAAAGAATATTGCTTTGATGCAAAAGATGAAGATTTGTTGATAAATGAAACTTACCATGAAAGTTTTTATTGGAATATTTCCCGCGTAGGAATTTCCGTTCTTGAAAACGCAGCAAACCAGCAATACCTTAAACAACATTCATACACATAAGAGGAGAGTCTCACCAAAAACAAAATCAAGAATTGGGATTTACGTACTGTGGAGTAGATGCAAGCCACAGTTGCATAAAACACAAGAACGAAGAAAGCCTTATAGTTTGCATAGCCAACACAGTTATTTATCCAAAGGCAATGGTGGTCCTGTAGTATATATGTACATAAGAAAAAAACACGTTTTAAGAAGAAAAAAAAGTTATCGATTAGACTCAATAAAAAAATGTTAAAATCTACATACCATCTTCAAGATGCATCTTCTGCAAACTCGGCAATGGTGAGTCCGAAGAGGCTTATATGCAAAGCACTTATCACATTTCCTTGTTTCTGTAGCCTAATCATATAACCCGGAAAACCAAATCAGAAAAATATGACTTTACGCCCACTTGCAATCTCAAATCATCCAAGAGGAGGCAAATTCATATTCCGGGGATTTTAAAATTTAAGCAGCTACTTTATATCGAATAGCATCAATGATTTAAGCTATTCTTCATAAGCTTAAAACCTTGACTTTTAATACAAAAAAGAAAAAGCCATTGCATTTCATCTATTGCGCTCTTCATCATTCAAGGAAAAAAAATCAACTTGTCCAAGTAACATATTATAAGAATCTGTTCCCCAACTCAATCAGTGAAATTCAAAGAAGTAGCAACAAACACACAGAAAAAGATCCTTGTCTTATCGTATTCTAAAACCTCAAACCAAACAGACATAACAGAATAATTCCAATAAAAAAAAATGAGAAATCCCCAAATGCATCAAAAGTCAGAGGAAAACAGGGGAGCTTACGTTACTATGGGACCAGCTCGAATCCTCAACATCCGGAGCATAAGATGCCGGGACACGACCTGGATCTATAAGAACGCAAACGGAGAGGGAAAATAGACAGAGGAACGCCAAGAAGCTGAAGACGAAGGCGTTTAATGTCCCAGCTGAGCTTTGTAAACCAACCCAATCATCGATGAAAACGAAGACTGTGATGTAGTACACGAAACCCATCACCAGAATCACCGAAAGGACCGGGATTGACAAGAATCTCCGGCAACTCATCGCCAGATCTCTCCGGGCACACGAACTCTCGACCGGTTTATTCCTCACCCGCCCAATTTTGATGGGAACCGAATCGAATTCCCCCAAAATAAAAAGTAAAAATAATTTAGCCAGTCAAAATTTAAATAATTAAAAATAAATTAGTCAGTCAAAATTTTATATTTTAAATATATTATTCGTAGCCATTCAACCTAATCTAATTGTTTAGTAGTTTCGTAAATGGGCTTCACTCTTAGTTATTGGATGGTCATCAACTGTTTTCAGTCTAATATGGTCATCAACTTATTTAATAGGAGTTTAAAGTATCTTCAAATCAAAGTCGATGTTGATGTTATTTTCTATGGTTTTGATTGAAATAACGTACTAATTTGTTAGTTAAGGGATAAAGTAACTCTAACAAGGACTTATTCTTGGTGTTTCAGAGTCAAATGAAGTTACATGTAAAATAGTCACAATCAATTAATACGTCATAAAATTGCAAAATAGTATATACATTGTAAATATGACATATATAGTACAATAACTTAGATGAAGATTGTACTATGAAACCATAGCTACCATAAGTTCAATGTCCACCATGTGATTTTTGTCCCTTACATTTATTGGCCCAACATGCTTCTACGTGTCTTATTCTGTTTCACTTTCGTCAATTTGTCACAGTAATTTTTTTATTATTAATCATCCAATTATCAAGTACATTCAAGTTTTTTTTTTTTGAATGAATGTAAAATTTTATTCACCAAAAAAAACGTTTTTACACCTTATGTTACATTGTTGATTTAAAACTTAGAGCATAAAAACCTCTGTCCTCTCATCGCAAACCAAAGTTGTAAGCTGTCCTCATACTTTGCATCCCTCAAGTACATTCAAGTTAACATAATTGAATATTAAGTTATGCAATTCGTATTCCGTCAAAGATCAATAGATTTTTAAGAATCTATTGACTTATTTAAGGAGAAATTTAGAAAATACAAAAGCATTAAATTTGCTATAATTTGTAGGCAAGAGAAAATAAAACCCTAGGTATCATTACACACAAGATAAATAAAGAAGTGGGCGTGTAAGCGAGGATATATGTGTACAGATACAGCCTGATATCATATACATTAGATTCCGTAATTATTGAAAAGATGATAACAACTTGATAGAAAATCGACTTCTTGTCCTTAACATATGAAAGAAAGAAAACATATGTACTTATTGTCATTAGACTCATCAATTAGTCTTATATATATACAGACAACGATTGAGATCAAACTAATTAACTTTAAATGTGATAAGACTAACTCCTACTTCTTTTTCTTTGGTTTATAAACTAATGGCATGTACTGATGTAGATCGGAAAACCTAGATTAATCAGCAGCGGCCGGGTATTTTTTCCTTTTCATTTTTACCTCTACTGTAGCCTATGATTATCTAACTGGGGCAACATGATGTAGATACATGTAGATAATTTTCATGGCTTGAAATCTGTCACTTGACCACAATTAACCTTTTGATTTTCACTAACTCCTACTTATTCTTTAGTTCTGGTCTAACAAACAAATTATTACGGCCATTGATAAACACGTATTTAAGATATTTGTCACAGTCACACTCTATGACTCTATGTATATATATTGATCTCTCTCTCAGCAATCAGAAACTCAAATCGTTTATCTGTAGTATTAGTAATAACAATTTTTCAACAGAATTTGTTAACAGAAAGTCTTAACTAAAACACTCAATTGGTAAGATTACATATTTACATTTACGGGACAACTAATTAACGTGTGCATAACATGTGGTTTTGGTGATATATGCAGAGTAAACGTACTTACTAAGTAAGTACGATTAGAGATGTTATACCGAGAGCAATATATTGCGATGATCCCAAATCACCACCAACTCTTTCACTCTTTAACTCTTGCTATTTAATTTGCCTTTCGTCATTTATGCCAAAAGACAAACCAACTCAAATATATATGTTCTTAATTGCATGCCCCTACCTGACACCATATCTTTAGATTCTCCATCGATCGACTTTTTGTGGGGCAATCCACAAATTTTCCTTAACTAATTAATTTCTTTTATTTTGAGACCAATATTCATTCCGTTACTATTTTGACACGATGCACATCAAGATTTCTTCTCTGAAATGTCGTTAAACTTTATTTATCATCACTTTATGTATCCATATGTATAACCAAGATACTAATCAATATAAGAAAATTTCCAAGGTCGCAAATTTGAATACTACGTAAACTAGTTCTGATCCACAGCTCAAATAAACTATTTTTAAGAAAACATAATAACAATAATGTATACATGGATGTGTAGAAGATAGAGACTTCATTGTATACGACGATTTGTGTCAGAAAATTGACTAACTTCCACACTTTACTCGACGGACAGATGCTATGTTAAATAATAAAACACAATGTTCTTACAAGGTTTTGAAAAAAACAAAAACAAAATCACTGAAAGATATATATATATATATATATCGGGCTAGATCCGCAGTATTGGTTGAGTTCTTCAAATTGGAGGGATCCGCAGTATTAGTTGAGTTCTTCAAATCATCGTTAAAAAGTATCGTATTGCACACGTCGTCGTTGCATAGATCTGCAAGTAGTGCTCCCTTAGCTTACCCGAATACTTCTGGTCCTGACCTTTTTTCACTCAAAGTTGAATATTCAAACCAAACTGAGTTCACATGCTCTCTTCTTATTTTATGTTTTGGAAATATCTAAATTGAAAGCGAAGAGACAGGTATTTCTCAAGTTGAGCCACTTGAAAACAAAGATCGGGTACGATGTACAACACACCAATATGTTTGATTTGATTTGGCATAAAAACCATATTTATAATATTACAAAATTAGCACAATAACAGAGAAATGAGAACAAGTAATAACCCAGAAATAGAAGTTGAAACACTATTAAATAAACGTTACTACAAGACAGTCGTGGAACAGATACTATCAAAAGTCTGGAGACGAACTTCATATATAAATATATAACTGATAGTATAAACCTCTTTTAAGAAAAAAAAAAAAAAGAAATGAACCCAGTTAGTTGATGTGTTGAATATCTTGTTGTTCATCGCATAATCTATAATGACCCGATGTGAATGGATACTAAATAAGATTATATGATCCTGAAAATACAGATAAGGTATTGCATAACTTTATACATCCATTTTATCAATACAAAAAGCTAAGATCAAAAACAAAAAAGTTTCCATGTCATTGTAATTAAAGCCCTAATCCTTCAAAATCAGTATGTATAGCCCACCAAAAGAATGTGTATTTTATATGTATAGGCAATACATAAAGCTGTAAAATATGTTCAAACACCGAAAGACAAAATCGAGATTTTTAAAAATAATCAAGAGAAAAATTTAGTTTCTTACCGAAAATCAAAACTTCATTAAATATATCTTCAGTTTCTTTCTCCAGCATTAGGTATTTTGTAGCCGGCGGTTGTCGATGCAGCATCATCAAGATTCTCATATACATATCAAAACCCTAATTGATATAAAATTAGGAGATGTATGTGAATCTTGATGGTGCTGCACCTACAAACAACGACTGTTGAGATTTCTTCCACGGATCCGCCGATAACTTATCAGATTTACATACACACACACACTCAAGAGATCGAGTATATATATCGTTCCAAATGGAACAAACGGGAATTTGATTGAATAAGCAAAAATAATAATCGCAAACCTAAATCAGTAGAGAAAAAATTAATGATATGTTCAATTCGTGAAGAATAAAAAATAAACGAGAAAAATAAGAACAAGGAGAAGAGCAGTCAGAGACGAGAGCTAGGAAAGTAGATATAGGTGAAGAAAAGAGAGAAGACCTTCACGAATCCAAGGGCTGACGTGTCAATCTTTTAGTGGTTCGTTTCCGTCATTAAGAAAAATACGGAATATCCTGTTTTTAGATCGTAAGGTAAAAAAAAAAACATTTTCTAGGGAAAGAAAAAAAAAACAAAAAATAATTGCGTGAAAAAATAAGCGATGAACGTTGAAGAACGTACATAGCATATAGGTCGCAGATATAATATACTAATTAATATCCAATACTGACTGGTTAGTTATTTTTCCGATCTTGTCGATCCAAACTCTGAGACACAACACACCAATCTTGTAACTTTCTATCATAAATGCATATATCTAATTTGAAAATTATTTATTTATGAGAGAGGAGTTACGTATATATTGGTGTGTATAAGCGCAAGACTAGCTAGAGAGGAAGTGAGAGGTGCAAGTGAAGAAGAGGCTTGGAGTGCCGTATTTATAGAGACGCAACAGCTCATGAGGTAACTTAATTAAACCAAACCGAACCAGATTTATAATACGGTTTAATGTTGGCGTTGTTCATTGTTCTTAAACCGGCAGTTACTTTATATTCAAGCCCTACAGTTCCTTACAGTAATAGCAATTATCAAATTGTTTATACGTATACAAATTGTAATCTACATTGTTGCAGTGTTTACAAGTTACAATTTTATAATTTAGTATAGTTGGTAATTTTTGTAATCCATCACCGTATATATGTTTTTACATAAACAACAAAAAAAACCATATGCATATTTGTTACGTGGATTTCACACCATTTGATCTGAGGAAAATGAATATTATATCAACTAATTAAACAAATTACAACAATTTTGTATCCTCCTAAGTAGGGTTGGGAACAATATTTGTTATATCCATTTAGATCAGAAAATTGGGGATAACCTGCTTCAAGCTACATATTAAAACAATTCTATAAATTGGGAATAACCTGCTTTAACCCCGGTTATATTGGATCTCTTTTTTCTCACCAAAAAAACAAATACTATAAAAGCTAGTTAATACAGTATCTGTTACGAGTAAATATTAAAAAGATTGACAACTTAGAATAATATCTGTACTGCTCCGACATGGATAGTTCATATGTATAGTTGTGTGGAATAGATTAAAAACTATAGTTTCTGTTCTTGAATTATTTGTTTTATTCCGGCGTTCTTGAATTCTTTGTTGCTATTTCAATTTCTTTTACTGAATTTTTCTAATATTTGGTTTCTTTACCTTTTACTTTTTTTTTTCTTGAACATCTCGTTTCTTTACCTTTGACATAAAATATTCAGAGCGGACTAATATCCGATGGAGTATCCATACACCAAATATACAGCTAGTTCTCAAACGGATACAGATTGGGAAAAGAGTTAAAGACAGCTGATCCGAACAACGAAAACAAAAGGTTCAAAAAATAAATAAAAATAAAAATAAAAACAAAGAAACAATATATTACCAATATCGCAAATATTAGGATGTCCGTCATATATGTTAATCCCTAATATATTAAACATCGTGAGGGTGTCCGTACTGTGAAACTATGGGTTCTTGTAATATTGACGAAATGATAAGATCAACACGTTACTTGAAAGAAATGACTTTGATATATGGATTTCCTAAAAAACATTATAGAGATGTGAATATATTTAGGATGAAGGTCTTATGATGATTTAATTTGCATCTCAGATAAAACTCACAAATTTTCTGGGATAAAAAAAAAAGTTTCCAGAGGATGGTGGGGGTTTAAGTTATCGTCGACTCAGCTAAAATCGATAGTGTATATATACAACTAATTACATCAACGAATTTGATAGAACATAAGCATTAGATAACATAAAAATCAATTAGATAAAACATAAGCATTAGATAACATAAAAATATTCTAATAGTTAATATATATTGACTTGGAAGAGCGTGTATACGACGTAAAGTGCTCAGGGCAAGTTGCAAGTTGATAAACATAGTACACTAAACATCAACAAAGAGAGATTCCTTGTCTCCCACACTTTCACCTGAAGATCATCAAAAGCCACAAGCCTATATAAATTTAGAGAAACAAAAACCTTAATGCATTTTAATTACCATTTTTACTTCTCTATATTAATAAACACCTAATTACTTGAAAATATTAAAAAACGTAAATGGACAAATAAATCAGAAATGTGCTTATTCTCATGGATCCAACTTTTTCGTTTATTTTCTTGATATTTATACAGACCAAGATTAGTCAAAACAGTAGCAGTACTAACTAGATAAAATATCCGACTAAATCGGATCTTAGGAATATAATACGAAATTGACATAATTGGATAAAACCTAGACATAAACGAAGAGTGCTAATTTGGCATAAAAGAAGAAAAACTATTATTCTATTCTAAGTTCCATAGTTATAGTAATGTATTTGTTTTTGAATTGGTGAATTTATATCTTTTAATATATATGAATTTATATATACATTTTGGTTAAATATAAAATCAATTAAGATTTTTTTTAACGTGTTTCATGCACCACCAATTTTTTTAAAAAATCATAATAGTAATTATAACATCTATGTTCACATATTAGCATTTAGTATATTTCAAACATAGACGATTCTGAAAATTTGTTGAAAAGTAAGGAGTTTTTTTGTTCTTTAAATCACTCATCTTATGATATTCGGATATATTTACATGATATTATATAGGTAAATTGTTTTAGTTATTATTAAGCTGTTGAAAAAATTCGCAATTATTAGAAATACTAAATAATTGCCAATAGAAAAGAACTTTGCAGACAATTATTTTGTTTGGGAAGATGGATTATCTACCCATATCATGGCAGACAACCTGGTACCTTTGCATTGGTCCACGATTTCTTTTTTTTTTTTGTAACAAGGTCCACGATTTCATAGGTTATATTTGGTTTTATATTCTATTAATCCGTATTTTCTATTTAGAATTTTTTTTTTTTTTTTTTGCATTTTCTTCTACTTTAGATATAATCTTGTAGGACAATAAATAGATGGTGTATTAGGTCAAAAGAGTCTTCACTCAAGACTGAACAAGAGGAATCACAAAGTGAAAGTATTACTTTTGAATATATATATTTAACTTATTTAATTTGTTCGAATTCCTCGGTGTGTACAAAAGAATATTATTGGGTTAGGTTAAACAAATGTTTATGAACCAATAAGAAGAAATATTCATTTAATCCAGGTAGTACTGAGATATTAATTTACAATTATTTTTATATATGCATGTTCTATAAAACTTTATTCTCGAATCTTGACAACACATTTTAGTAATTATAAAGCAAAACTTTCTATAAAATATAATTTTGTAGATAGTATGCGAATGATCTCTATCTATAATCACAAATTCACAACCATTCGTTCGATAATAGTTAATTTTGCAATTAAACAGAATATTTCATTTTTTATGAAATACAATCTTGATTTTTGAGTTCTAAAATGATTTTTTTTTTACTCAGTTCTAAAATTATTTATTTGGACAAAATCTTATATTCCTTTTGTATTAAATAAAATTTCTATTTCAAATTACCATATTATAATAGAAAAAGGATTCTTAGACCGAAAGCCATTAAATGCTGTATGAATGAAACTTTTACTAGATCACACAAATTTTGTGTCCTTAGGCTTCTTTTTTTTTCTCGATCTTGCTTAATTATTAATGATCCTAAGTCAAGCACATCATTTGTCCTACAGTATAATGTAAAATGTGTCCACATGGGAACATGGATGTATAACTAATCCACATGTTTAGTTATTTTCTTATCTTCATAATATGTCTGAAACGGCATTGCCGCATCGGTATATATATTTATCACCACCATGCAAGACCTTGAAAAAATGTAATACTTTTCAGAAAGTGATGTTTATTTCATCAGTGTTTATACGTCATGGACACATGGTACTTCTAGTTTTCTCCATAAAATATGGAGTTTCCGATTTTACTAGATACTAAATCTATATAAATGATGAATAATTCTATTTGACGCTTTTTTCCACCACCCCTACACAGCTTCACTGATACACACTTGAGAAGTAGAGATTAGAAAGAAAAAAAAGGTTATCGCGTGTGTGTCTTTTTTTTTTTTAATAAAGCTAAACACTCAATTTTATAAAAGTTCCATATTCCATACTATTTCAGTCTTCATATGCCATACTCTTTTAATCTTCATATTTCTTTAACGCCAAATTAAGATCATTTTCCTTGGAAAAGCTGAAAATAATCTATATGAAAAATCATGATTTGATTATTAAGAATTAACCTTTTCCTAAACATAAGTAATACAAAGATAAAAAAAAAACTCACTTCGAAATCTTTTATACAATCATAAGACACCTAGAGTACAAAGCTTTCTGTCGTGGTTGTAAAAATATTATTATAAGCCTTTCAAAATCTCCCTAATTTCAGAAAAAGATTCTTAAATTAATTCTTACGAAAAGCCGAGTAAGACTATAACTTATCTAGGAAGGGTGTAACATTTTGTTAGAAATTTTAGTATTTCGACATTTTAGCAGTATTTAAAAAATGTTAATTGAAAAATACATTAATATGATAACATAAATATGTACTAGCCTAATACTAGGATGAAGTGAATGCTTAAGAAAAAGTACGATGAAATGAATACAGTTCCTTTTAGATTAGTCTAACAATATTGTTTTGCTCCGAAACTGTGGGCTGGTTAAAGTTAGTTTAATTATTGATTGATGCGTGATTAAGTCATTTAAACATTGTTACTTGGATCTCACGTGGAATCAAGCTTCTGGTCTTTTTATTATTTTCAAAGTTAAAACAATATATCTCAACTAAATTCGCACGTATTTTAAATGCATAGTCTAATCATAAAGTAAAAAACTAGCAAGACAATTCAACGGAGAAAACCCTCAACTAACGACAAATCCATTTTGGACCATCAATAGTGTAAATATATTTTGCGTCTACCTTCAACAACAATTGTATGTTTAAACCTTTGGACTTATGTTTCATAGTAAAAATTCCATCTGTCTGTGGACTGTGGATTAACATGATCCTTCGCTAACCAACCATTAAAACATCTGAAAAACCATTACATCAGATTAGCTTGAAAACTTGAGAACAGAAGACACAACCAAGAACAATCAACTATTGAATTGAGACATGTGAAAGAATTTTGGTTGGCCTATGGGATTAACCGAATAGGCTTATGTTTTGGGCCCGTGAAGGAAATTAAACATCGGTATGGGCCTTTTACGATAATGTTTCAGGCCTTTGTTCTTTTTTTTTTTTTTTTTTTGGGTGGCATAACACCTCAACTACCTTTTAGGGTTTGTCATCAACATTTGAGAGGCGAAAGAAACAATACGATTTGTTCAGAATAATATTTCTCGAAATTCACAGTTTCGTTAACAAGGGAAGATAGAGGTAAGACGAATCTATTCGTATAATTCTCTGCCTTCGTATACACCGAATATTATCTCGTGTTTAAGTTAACGAGTTTCTAGGTTTTGCTGAATTTTTGGGGATTTAATTTTGGGTTTACCTAATTCCTGCTTGCTTCTGTAAACAGAGGAACTAAAAAATGGCTGCGAAAGAAGGAAGTAGGATATTTGTTGGTGGTTTATCTCCGGAGGTGACAGAGAGGGACCTTGAGCGAGCTTTTAGCCGCTTCGGAGACATTCTCGATTGTCAGGTACGAACTTGATTTGATTATTATTATCTCTGTGTAAGTTAGGTTTTTCTTTCCTTCCTTTCTAGATAATACTATTAGCTTGTGGCTGCACTAGTCATAGCTACATTTTAAGGTCTGGTTTCTGGTAGAATTGAACAGGTCTATGATTTTTTTTTTTTTTCTGGACTGCTTAAGTTACACCAATAAGAGCAGAGATGTGCGGAAATTATTTACATGCAAGTCATATTTTGCATTATCACTCTTTTCACCTATTGATTGTCTTCCCTTTTTGTTCGATGCTTGTATTGTGTCACTGAAACACTGTAGATTGATGAATTAGGGATGACAATGAATCAGAGCTACATGGGTCAAGTTGAACTGCTCTGTGTTAAAGATTAAAACTGCCTGAGAATTTAGGAAACACAGTAATGTTTGATTCTCTGAGCAAAACACAGCTTTGGGATTTGTTTCACGTGGTTGAAACTGTGGTAACAGGTTACTTCAGTTTCTTCTAGTGTAATCTTTGACTTCTCTAAGTATGCAACGCTGGGTTATTGGTTCTTCCTGAAAATTATCCTTGTTGCTGCCCTTATAATCTGAGTGGAGATCCTGGTTAACCAGATTTAGGAAGAAGCACTTTCTTTTAATGTTTGTTAGCTTCGCTGGATGCCTGTCTTCTTGATTTTGAGTGGTGAATTCAAGATGCTACTCAGTTAAAGCCAGTGTCACCGCTGCCCTTCTGGTGGATGAGGAAACGCTCTGTTTATGCTTCAGTAGTTACGTTTGTAAAATCAATATTTCTGGATATGCCCAGTCCACCTCAGCTGTCTTTGTGCAAGATTTCATTTCTTCCTGATTCCTTGAGCCTCAGTGCTAGCAGTTTAGGTACTTCAGCGTAGTCTGAACTGCAGATCGTAAGATTACACTCAGTCGAAGCAGAGATCTCAAGGTTTCTATGATCATTTGGGACCACCTCTCCTTATGTTATCACAGAGTTCTACTTGTCTTTCTTGTCGTCTATTTGCCTTTTCCATCACCTCGCTTCTGATGCCCTGTGTGTTTAGTAGGAGTTGCATGGGTTTCATCTTTTCCTTTCATTTATTCTTTCTTCTCCAAGCCTAAGAGATGTCCTATTTACTAATGCAAGCCAATTAAAATGATTCTTGTGCCCTAGGCCACACATTTGTCTATATCCACCAACTCCAGTTCTCTGCGCTTATCTTTTCTGCAAGTTTCTGAAACCTGATTAAGTTCTTTGTCTGAGATGGAATATTGTAATTCTGATCTGTGTACTGTGGTTCTACGTAAAGATTTGTCAACGCCAGTGGATCTGAATGATTTCAGCTGGATCAATATCAGATTATTTCTGCATATTGAGAAGAAACAGATGTTTGATCAGGAATACTGTGTTTTGTTAGTTCAGTAACTTTCTTCTGTCTCTAAAAATTCCTCTCTTTAGTTTTTTAACTATATCGTCTGGCGGTTGAGAATAGAGATTAGTAGACTGTTTAAGCCTCCAAGGGCATTAAGTCAGGGAGTTGTCATTTGGGGCTGAGAAAAAGTTGTTAGTGGTGTCTGCTACCTCTGCTGTAGATTGGAGACTTGCTTTAAAGCTGCTTCAGTTTCTGGGGATCTCTAGTGTGTTTTGCTCTGAAGTTGAGATTGATTTGACAGTAGACAGGGTCAGTGTTATATAAACAGATGGTGTTTCTTGATGTCACATGGACTTGATATGATCTTGCAGAATATGCGTTCGTTTCATTATAGTACTGCACTTCTGCTCAGTTTCTAGCATATATCTTAGGGAAACCAGATTTTGTGGTGTGTTGTGTATAGATCATGATGGAAAGAGATACGGGTCGTTCACGTGGAATTAGGAGAAAGTCCACTAGC